GTGGAACTGGATTTCTCCTCCCCTCCTGGTTTCAGCTTTAAGAAGAGTGACGGTTTATTCTGTTGGAGCGTCGATGATCCAGATATGTTCATCTGAGAGCGCCGTCCTGACCGAAACTGAAGGTGTGAAGGTGAAACATCACCTCCCTCCTCGACTCCAACACCAGAAAACGAAAAAAAAAAACTCTGGGATGGAAAATTTCTGATGGATGGGAAGGGCTCCTCGATATCCCTCAGAGAACCAGTCTGACCAGTTCTGTCCCAGTACTGCTGTGTTTGCTCTGAACCAGCACCTCACTGGCTGCTCTGCATGACTCTGTTTAACCAGCGGCTTCATTCAACCTTTAAATGGACGCCTTCGCTCGCTCTTCGCTCGCAGGCTGACGTTTGAGTCCTTAATCAGAAACGGTCTGAAAGTGACGAGAGATCACGTTTCGGCGTTTCAGGATCTGAGTTTGTTTTTTATGTTGAATCAGGCAGAAGATTTCCTTACTGACCCACCAGGTCTGAAAAACCATCAGAAACTAAAAACTTAAACCGTCGACCTCAGAGAGTCTGAATCAAATCTGAGACGATATTTAACAGATTCAACAAAAACGACATTTTAAAACACGACCACGAGTAAATGTGGGCTATGTCAGACTTCTGCAAATAGACGATCATTTCAAATTTGACTGATATCGGTTTGAGTAAAAACTCCTTTAAAAATGCAAAATAAAAGTAAAACCTCCTCATTGTTACTCTTAAAGAGACAGTCTGATGAATTTGGACTCGTGAGCCTCGTATATGGAGGTCATTCTCAGGTGTAAAGAAAGACGCCTTTCTGTATGAGGAGCTGATTGAGACTCTCATCACACACCTGAGAAACATAAAAACACACTCTAGTTTTTCAGGCCACTGTGCTCACAAACTGAGAACTTTTTCATGCTCATCTTTTAAAACTGTAAATGAATCTAAACTTTGATTAAAATTTACTTACACTCGTTAACCTCGTTTACACAAACGGTCCGTCTAATAAAAGTGCAGTAAAAATGTTTTACATTCATATTTTTTTGACTTTTAAAGCGTCACATCTTAGACGTATCCATAGATTTAAAGTTTATTTTAATTTTTAAATATTTTTTATGTTTTTAGTGTTTTTTTTTCTCATGAGAAACTCTGATTTTTTTTCAATGGGAACAACAAAAAATCTGCAATATTTTCAAAAATGAGGAGCAAAGTGAAATATTTTTGATAAAGATAAAACAGCCTTGACCATGTCAGTATGAGAACACAGCGGCCTTTTTCATACTCATCTGTTAAAACTGTGACTGAATCTGAACTTTGATTAAATACCTTTTTAAACTCGACCAACTTCTCAAAGTGGAAAATTGACCAAAGTCGGAAAAACACGACATTTGGGAGATGGTTAAAAAGAGACACCTGCCGAAAATGTCCCTGAAAAAACACAAACAGGATCTTTATAGTTTATTTCTCTTTGTTTAATCAGGAGCGTGAGTCTGGATCTGGGCCTGATGGTTCTGGACCCTGATGGTTCTGGACTCTCTGTGGTTTTGTTCCATAAAGACGTCATACATTTCTCCTAGTTTGGTTTGTGGTCTATCTTAAGGTTTTAAGTGCAGCTGTGACCTCTCTTGACCTCACATGTGTTTGAAAAAGTTCATCCATACGTCCCCGTCTGTGAAACAGCGGTCTTTATTCTGTGTGTGAAAAGCTCACATTTTCTGCAGCCGTCTGGCGTTAACGCGGCGACAGCGATAGGCTGCGTGTCTGCGTGTCTGTCCTGAATGAGGCCATAGTTACAGCCGCTTCACCCCGAACGGAGGAGGCTGAGGAGAAATTACGATGCTGCTGCTGCTGCTTTATGAAAGAAACATTGATGCTCCTGATTGCCCGAGATGATGGAGGCTGGACAGAGAGTCTCTGCAGCGAACAGACGACAGGACGGAGTTGAGGAGCTGAGGAGCAGCAGAGAGCGTGTCAAAGAGACGGAGGAGTCGGTCTGTGCACGCAAACACTCGGAGAAACAACCGCACGGGTAATTAAGAGCCGCAGAGAGGTGAAGACAGAGGAAGAGAAGGACTGATGTGTGTGTGTGTGTGTGTGTGTGTGTGTGTGTGTGTGCGTGTGTGACTCATGCATGAGTACACATTGTTAGCTCGGTGAAAATCCTCACAGGTTCCTGGAAGGAATTAAAAAAGCTGACGTGACACCAGGATGCAAGACAGCTCTGCAGGGCCGGCCCCTCCCCTCAGCTGTGTGTGTGTGTGTGTGTGTGTGTGTGTGTGTGTGTGTGTGTGTGTGTGTGTGTGTGTGTGTGTGTGTTTTATCCCATTGCTCAGTTTGACCATGCATGCTCGTAGCTCCACCTGAACAGTCAAAGTTAGAGAGCTGTTAATCCTGAAACTCCTCTGACAGCGAAATCGTTCAGTTCCAGCTTTTCAAACCAGACGATCAAATAATTAAATTTATTAAATTAAATAATCCTGAAAAATAAACATGACTGATGTGGGACAGAATGGCTCTGTGACTGAAGGGCTCCGGACGCCGGAGCATGGCGGATAAATTCAGCACAGATTAACCCGTGCTGGAAAAGAAGTCGGGCACAGACACAAAATAAAACATCCGTCGAGTCTAAAAGTAGATTTCCTCCTCTGGAAGGACACAATCTACTGTTGATATGTCTATGTGTCTGTCTTTATAGAGACAACTCGTTATCGCGTGATTGAACGTGAATCCGCGGGTTCTTGTGAGTTTTCGTGATTCCTGCTGTCCGTAAGCTGCCACAAAATTCGCCTCACCAACGGATTTCGGTAGGAATTGGCGGACGGCGAAAATCGCCGCCGTTCCGGATGCGGTGAAAATTGGAGGTTAACAAGCAGTTGGTTAAACAGATATCTGACTCAGGGTGTGCGAGCAAAAGGCTGCACCTTCAGCTCTGTCGCAGTGACAAAAGGAGTTCCCCAAGAGTCGGCGTTGGGCCCATTTTATTTATTCTTCTCATAAATTAATTAAATCCAAACGTTGTCGATGCAAACGATCATTTTTATGCAGACGACACAGAGATGTGCAGCTCTACCTCTGCTCTAGATGAAGCTGTATTAAAGTCACAGTTCACTGTTCACGCTATTCAACGACACTTCTTTGATTTCTAACTTGTGTCTCATGCACGCCGCCTCTCCTTTGAGTTTGCACGCCGCAGTAGAATCTGTGTGATCACAGAGCGCCGACCTTCATCACACCTTTTAAAGCCCTGACTCTTCACTGTTTGCTGTCTGGACTCAAACGTTGGCGAATTCTTGTTTCCATCTTGGGTCTGCTTCCTTCCTCATGAACATCATACAGAAGAGTACAGAGACTGACTTTCTTTGATACGGCGAGGAGGCGTCAGGTCCACCTCCACGCCGCCTCTTTCACCAGGATGATTGAGAGTTTGGATGAGTCTGCATGTCTAACGGCGACTGTCTTCACTGAAGGTCTCTCAGAGCTTCATGACTGACACATACTTCCTGATCAGCAGAGATCCCGCCCACAATCTGATCAATGATTGGTGCTGTTATCGATCGTTTCACTCGTTGACCTTTAGGTTCATAACGGGAACTTCTTCACTTCTTCTCTCCTCCTGACGGTGTGTGTGTTTTTTTTCTTACTCTTTCCATGTCCCAGGTTGCCCCCTCTCCTGCGCAGAAACCCGACCGTCCCTCTGAGCTTCCTGCGTGTTGATTTGATCTTTATTTGGCCTTTTTACCGCAGCTCTTTGAATAAAGCTCCTCAGCGCCTTTACGGGAAACGCACAGCGCAACATCACAACCGGCTCCCTCATGCTTCCAAACTCAGCGTTTCCAAACAAGTTTTCCTAAAATCTGCCAATTTACAGAGACCAGTTTAGAAAATCCCTCTCTCTCTTTCTCTTCAGGACAACCTCCAGGAGGAGTCGTGCCCCAAAAGGAGGTGGTGCTAAATTTAAACCTGCAAAAAGGTGGCTTTGTAAACCCGGAGGCGGCTTCAGAGGAAAAGACGGAGGTGGAGGGGAGGGTGGAGCGGAGAGGACACCACAAAAACATGATTTTAACGATTATTTCATTCTTATGAAACAAACTCCAGAGATGATCCAAAATGTAGAGAGATGTCAAAGCTGGTGGAAACGCTGACTCATCCTGACCTCTGGTTGACTCAGCAAAAGACAAAGAGGCGGAGTCGAGGCGGAGTCGAGGCGAGCCTTTCGCCTCCTCGCTAACAGCTACAGTGTCGGTCAAGTCAGCTGTGAGAAAAACTCCAAACTTGAATATAAATGATCTCTAAAACATCAGACCCTCACAGTCTGAGAGCAGGAAGTGGATTTTCAGAATAAAACACACTGTAGTATGTTTTCTTTGTTTATACCGAACCGTCGGTGTGACGTTTCCGTACTTTACGATTCAGCGTCTAAGACGGACTTTTCAAACTCAAACCCTCAAATATTTCCTTCTCCAGAATGTAAACGTTTATTTTTGAGTTTTTACTTTGGGTGTGTGTGTGGAGTTTGGTGGTTTTGTAGCCGACCTCTAGTGGACACTGGAGGAACTGCAGGTTTGTCTGTTTCTTCTTCTTCTTCTTGACCCGGATTATTCCACAGGATCTGCAACTTTCAGCTTGTATCGGTTTTGGCGCCCCCTGTGGACAAAGCGGTCTTTCCTTATCCCATCATTCTGACTTTTTACAGTCAAACGTTTCTTTAATTATGAATATTGATGTAAAAACTGTAACGACAGGACTGTTTCTGTTTATCGTAAAAATAAACATCACGATGAATTTCAGTGAAAAAACTCCTCACAGGAGCTTTAAAAGGACGACGCTAACCTGTGATGTCCGTGTTTTTAAAGGAGGCGGGGCTTTGTCTTTTCATCTTTTTCCTCTTTGTTTTATTTTAATCAAAGATGCTGAAAAAGTTGAAACACCTGAAGATGAAATATAAACAGTTTGTAAGAACCAGAAATCCTTCAGTTGGATACCAGGGGTCGGCAGCACAGAACAGCAGTCAGAGACAGAGAGAGGGTCCAGGGAGAAATTCCCCGCGCCGTGGCCTGGGAGCCGCTGGACGGGCGGCGTTTTCTCCGGCCCATGAAAGGCGTGATTGTCCAACGGCTTCCCCGAGCCAGGAAAGTTCCCCCAGCGGCGGTCGGCGGCCCCTCTATCTGCCAGGAAGGCAGCGCTGTGGAGAGAAACCCAGCGCCGGTTATGTCAGATACCACGCCGGGGCAAGATGAGGAGGAGGAGGAGGTGGAGGAGGAGGAAGAGGAGGAGGAGGAGGAGGTGTAAAAAAGCAGCTTTTCAATGTGTGTCATAAATACTTTAGAGAAACACACACACAGGGGACACAGACAGGAGGACAGCAGCGGGCCCTAGACGAGGCTGTGGGCTCTGAATGAAAAGAAGGGCAGCTCTCAATGTGTTTATTTTGACAGGAGGGAGTGAGAGTGGAGGGGGAGAGAGAGAGAGAGGGGGAGACAGAAATGGAGAGATGAGAGGAGGAAGAGTCGAGGAGAAGAAGTATTTCAGACTCGGACATTCCTCCACGTCCAAAAACAAAGTTCAGAGACGGTTTGAGGAGACGGTCTTCGTCGTGTTTTACAGGCCGACATGTAAATCCTGTGACAGCGGTTACAGTCTTCACGCTCTGACTCAGTGACCTGTGTCACACTCGCTGATAAAGGAAACTGAGTTTGCATCCCTAAGTAGAGGAGGACGATAAAGACGCCTTCAGGCTGTAATGACTAATCAAACAGAGCGGGAGAAAACCCCGGGGGCTAACAGGCCAACTGATCCTGCTCTGAAGGACTCCACTGTCTAATAACCGCAGCGGCGGCGGTGGCGGTGGCGGCCCTCTGTCTCCTTTATTTACCTGAACAGAGTTTTTCTGTTTGTTTTTCGCTCAAACTGGATTTTCAGGTATTTTGTTCCGATCACCTCAGGACGTTTTCTGACGATACCGATGCTCTTATCTCCGCTTGTATCATGCAAATGTCTCCAAACATGGCGGATGTGGCCGGCCTCCTTTGATTTAGTCAGAGGTAGACACGTGGAGAACTTTTGAGCGAATGGATCAGGATCTGGGTCAGAACTTCTCAGAGTCTGATCATCTCAAAGTGAATCTACAGTGTCGTCTCTGTGGTGTTCAGACTTACACACACCTGTCGGAGCTCCACAGGTGAGCCTGCAGAGTCGGAGCTGATCGTTCACTCGTCTAAATCGAAGCCGGAGTTACATCCTGCAGCGTTTACAGCCGTCTGCTTCCTCTTATTTATAGTATCAGACTGCAGACTGATAAGATATCACCTCTGACTGCAGGAGGACAATGATTGGTTATCTTTATGGACGCACACCTGTCTTATTGGGTCTCAGGTCCTTTTTGGTTGTTATATTTCACGTTAAAGTTCTGTTAAGACCTGCTGCATTAGTAGAACCTCATGGGGGTCCCTGTACGGTCCTCAACAACCAGATACCTGACCCGGTGTCTGTCTGGGACTCGGTGCAGAATCTAGCTCTGTTTTCTATGTTAGAGGTAAAAATAAGAATCTACGGTGTCTGAAGTGGCTCAACCTGAGCTGCGGTGAGTTTTCGGCCTGTGATGTGAAAATAAGTGAGGCTTGTCTACCTGAGCGTGAGAGGCTGTCAGGCTCTCCTCAAGGAGCCCCGTTCAGCCGCACACACACACACACACACACACACACACACACACACACACACACACACACACACACACACACACACACACACACACACACACACACACAGCATCCGGAGCCAGCAGACATAGTAGCTCTCATTCATCCCCTGGTAGCGGCCGTCTCCCTCTCTTTCTCCCTCTCTCTCCCTCTCTCTCTCTCTCTCTCTCTCTCTCTCTCTCTCTCTCTCTCTCTCTCTCTCTCTCTTTCTCTCTCCCCTCCTCCCCCTCTGCTGGCCTTCAGTCCTTCCCCCGGCTTTTTTCGTCCTTCCAGCCTCCTTCTTCTTCTCCTCCTCCTCCTCTTCTTCATCGCCCCCTCCTCAGACCACGACCATTTTAAGGTTTCGGGAAGGTAGAAAAACAGTCTAACCAGGCGGGTGGACCTGTTGGTGGTCCTGGTTCAGTCCTGGTTCAGTCCTGGTTCAGTTCTGGTTCAGTCCTGGTTCAGTCCTGGTTCAGTCCTGGTTCGGTTCTGGTTGTTTTCAGTCCTGTTGTCGTTCTTCTCGTCTGTTTTCATGAAGCACTAAAACACTTGAGGAGTTTGGTTACCATGGTGACGTTGGTGGGTGTGAGTGATATCTATAACCGGTGGATCTTCTGGTGTTATGTGGCCAAGTGGAAGCAGGGAAAGGGTTAACAGAACCGGGCTGAGGGCAGAACCTTGAGAACTCCACTGAGAGCCGGTCTAAAGCAGGACCACCAGTACCTACCTATCAACCACAATATGATGGTCCACTGAGTCATACACTGAGGTCCAGTAGAACCAGTACCGAGCCCGCTCCTGCAGGACTTCGTTTTGATGGGGACTCTGAGATCCTGCTCTGCACACAGCAGGGTGTCAGGATGAATCTGCCTTTGTGGTTCAGGATCGAATGGACCTTTGAGTTCTCTGAGACTGATCCACTTCCCCCTTGTTCGTCTTTTCTTTCCCGGGGTTTCCGATTTTCGCCGTACGCCGATCCGTTTGTGAGATGGTTGTTTCGTTTTAGGCTCAGCGTCTTGTTACATTATCGACCACTTATTACATTTTTTTATTATATATCAGGTTTTATCACGTCTTCTTGTTGATGTTGAAGGTACAGTGTGTTTAATTTAGCAAGTTTTAGCCAAACAGACGTGTTCGAAGTTCAGAGGTGTGTTAAATTAGAGTTCTTTGACTTTGTGTTGATCTTATCAACGTCTCGATCAAGGGAGCGACGTATGAACATTCGCTCTTCTACGGACTGTACCTTTAACATCTAAACAGTTACCTTACACTGACGTGCACGACGACCGTCTTATATTTACCTGATATTATCTTGATAACTTGATACAAACTGTAAATATGAAATATCAGATTTTTTTGGTTATTTTTAAAGAACCTGAACCCGTTTTCAAACTTAAGTCGTAACTTCTCGTCTTTGAGTTTCCTCTCTCTCTCTCTCTCTCTCTCTCTCTCTCTCTCTCTCTCTATTTTCTCTCCCTCTCTCTTTCTCTCTCTCTTTCTCTCTCTCTCTCTCTTTTCTCTCCCTCTCTCCCTCTCTCTCTCTCTCTCTCTCAGCCTCAGAGCAGGATGACCTTAAATCATCCGGTTTTGTGGCCTTCGTGACGGTCGCACCACTGTGACAACTGCAGCCGGCACTTGGAGCTCATTAGCTGTGTGTGTGTACAGCTGGACACACACACACACACACACACACACACACACACACACACACACACACACACATGTAAGAGAGGACAATAAAACAGCTGTGAGGAGCAGCGGCAGGTTTTTATCCTCAGAGAAAATGAACGTTTCTTCTCCACTCTCTGCTGAACCGGAGAAGACGACGCTCCGAGAGCAAAACGTAAGAACAGAAACACAAAACACGACAGGTTCAGACGCACAGGTGTGGTTTTGTGCGGTCTTTGCACCTGTCTACAGGAGGATACAGGTGTGCAGTAACTGGTGACAGTTGGGCGTGTACAGACAAAGTTTGATTGGCAGCTCCTGTCTGACTTTAATCTGAGGGGGCGGGACATCAAACAGCTTTATGAGCCTGAAGTCAGAGCAGTTTAATTTTATGGACAAATGAGTCACAACATCAGACGGACCGAAGCCAGAGCACAGCGGCGGCGGCCATGACACCTGAGTGGGCGTGGCCTGTTTAGGGTTAGGGTCTGAGAGGTCGTATTAATATCAATCAGGAGTTTCCTCCTCTCTGTTAGAAAGAGCTTCACATTCACTCTGTGTGTTTATATTTCTGCTGATTTCCTTTAACATGGTTTTATTGATTAATTTGATTTATTGATCTGACTCAACTATGATGAAATAAAAATAACACACAGGTCAGAAAGGACGACCACGACAGCAGAGGTGAGGCTGTGGTCTCCAGATGAGTGACAGCTCCTGGCCCCGCCCCCCTGACTCACAGACGTGTTACTCTGAGGGTCCCTCTCACTTTCACAGACCTGTTACTGATGCTCATTTGTTTTTCCAGCCTCCAATCAGAGACCCCCTGGTGAGAACCAATTATCACCCTCTCACTCACACACACACAGTCAAAGGGGGGGGGGGTTAGTGACCCTGCAGCCATGTTTCTGATTCAGGGGGTTGGAGTTAACGTGGAAACACAGGAGAGAAAGTGTCCTCCTGAAAACGTTAGCTCACCTGCAGGAATCAAACCCTCGTCCTGCTCTCTAACCCCAAACCGCCACCTTCATCCTGATCGTCTACGAAAAGGTCGTATCCTCCGATCGTAGCTGATCGTAAACATTCAAGTTAACATGTCATTTCCGTTGAGGAATTTTTTATTTGCATCCTTTTATTTTCGCAGAAAGTAACTATTTTATTTATTTATTTATTTTGCATCGCCACTTTTTTTTTTCGTCGTTAACTTCCGTTGCGACTTCTTTATTTTTCCTTCGCCGTGGCGAGTGGCGGTTCACGGCCACCGTACAGGAGCAGGAAGGACACTGATGAGCAGAAAGAAGACAATAATCTGTACACACACACACACACACACACACACACACACATACACAGGTACACACACACACACACACGCTAACATCCCCTCGTAGTGGGAAACCGGTAATGGGCGGATCCTTTAACATGAACACCTGTGATGACTGATAAGACAACAGCTGTGTGTTTATATGTGTGTGTGTGTGTGTTTATGAGTGTGTGTTTTGGGTGACTGTATATTCTGTGAGTTTATTTTAGTGTATTTTCGGAGCACTGATATTTTCTCTGTCCCTCTCAGTGAAAACAAACCGTGCCGTCTTCCTCACACGCCGTCGCTCACACACTCAGCGGCGGTTCCTGCGCTCCTCGTCGCAGCTATAGGATACACAGATAAAGTCAAAGCAAATTTGATTTTCAGCTGGTAGAATATTAAACAATCAGAGATTGTCTGTGCTGTAAACAAAGATTAATTCTCTGATTCGCAGCAAATATTTGCAGCAAATAATCAGTGTCAGGAGAATATTTGCCGACTCACGGCCGTCTTCCTCACCTTTCTTCTCTTTCCTCACCACCATAAAGTCCTAGACAAAGTTTATTTATACCTGCTTCACCTGTGTGGACAGAGCGAAGCGTGAGTCTTCAGGCCTGTTTGTAAAGTTTGGGACTTAAGGGTCAGAGTTCACCGCAGCAGAGATGGAGCTGTCCAGAACCTGCTGGACTGTACCGCTCACCCAAAACAAAAAAACGCTTTCTGATCCGTCAGAATATCGTGTAAAAGTCCAGTTTGTGTTCAGTCCTGAAAAAAGGTCTAATCTGGACCGAGGATGGAGTCAGAGTATCCTCGGGGTGTCACGATACTAAAGTTTCAAACTCAATACTGATACCCAGGAAAATACTCGATACTATTTTTGATATCGTGGGGATAGAAAACGACAAATACTTTCAAAGGATAAAAATATTTTTATTAACATGAAAAATTGAACGGCAGATAAGTTTTAATAGTCGGTCCTCACAGATCTATTCTGCAGCTTCAGCTCGGTTTATTTTGAAGCTTCATGAGACTTTGGGTCAAACTTTCTGTTTCTCAAATATCAGAGGAAGACGAGGCTGTGGTTTCTTCGGTTTAGTCGCAGGTCGACTTCTCTCTGCTTCAGTCTGTATCTTTAAGAGGAGAAAACACGTTAGACTCACGTTAGCGAGCTAAAGGCCAATGGCTAATAACAAAACAACCGACATTCACTGAGCATGAAGCTAACCGCAGCTACCGCGGATTACCGCCGGTCAGACTAACATCATGAATCAGTTTATCACACTAAGGTAGAAGATGAACGGAGCTTCACTAACCTGCTGGAATTCTTCATGAAGGTCGGGGTGTCGGTCCTTGAGATGTTTCGCCAAATTCGTCGTGCTTCTCGACTTTGTCGCCACCACTTTGTAACGCTGGCCAAACATAACAGCAGTAAAACGTGGGACAGCGAGCTGGGGGGGCTCTTCCGACTGCTGGACGCTGTCTGCTGAGTCGGCTGTGCTGCGGGCACGCACGCCGTAGTATCAATACTATGGCAAATTAGTATTGAGTCCAGATACGGCGTGTAAAAATCGATACTTTTGACAATTCTAGAGGATCCAGAGTCTCCCGGGACATGGACTACAAGTGTTCCTCCTGAACCAGAGACAACATCAGAGTCTCACCTGGACCCAGAAGACAAAGAACTGGACTGAGGCTCAGTGGTCCAAAGTCCTGTTTCCAGCGTCTCATTTGGAAATCGAAGTCCCAGAGTCTGGAGGAAGATCGGAAAGGTCCAGAATCTAAGGAGCTTCAAGTCCAGCGTGAAGTCTCCACAGTCTGTGGTGGTTTTGGGTTTCATGTCATCTGCTGCTGCTGGTCTACTGGGTCCAAGTCCAGAGTCAACCCGGCCTGAAGTCTACCAGGAGGTCTCAGAGACCTTCATCTTCTGAGAAGCTTTATGGAGTTTCTTTTTCCAGCAGGACCTTGGACCCGCCCACAGCGCCAGAACTACCAGAAACTGGTCTGCTGGTCTGACCTGAACCCCCAAAGAGGATCTCAGGAGGATCATCAAGGAGGATTAAAGATCCAAACTGGAAACGATGAGAGTAAATCTGACTGAAGGCAAAATAAGAGTCTAACTGAACCGATTTCAAAATAAAAGCCCGGCTCAGATTCATCAGAACATCTCCACACTTTCAGGTTCTGTGTGTGTGTGTGTGTGTGTGTGTGTGTGTGCGTGTGTGTGTGTGTGTGTGTGTGTGTGTGTGTGTGTGTCTGTGATTTAGGAGGCAGCGGACAGTAGCGTCCGTCTTGTCAGCTCCTCTCATGTTGTCTTAAAGTCTAGCCGGCAGCTCCCGGCCTCTTTGTGTGTTCGAGTCGACAGATGCTCTCCAGATGTCGGAGAACATTCCTGAAGGTCTCATCGCACTCGAGGACATTTTATGTCTCCTCACACCGTCCTGACACTGTCACAGCTCACGTCCTGGTTTAAGCAAACTGAAGAAACAGGACGTTCACTCTGAAATACTGACCAGAAACGGACAGAAAAGAGACGTTTTGAGGAGCGAATCAAAGATCAGAGCTTCACATGATGATCAAATATTTTACATTTTAGTCACTCTTGGGTAAAATGGTTTTAAAGCCACGTTTTATCGCCCTCCTACAGTTTTGTTTTCTCTCCTAGAGTCCCATGCCAAGTGGAAAAGCAGCAGGTGTGCTATCAGAGATCCTAATGACTGATGGGTCACTGATAGGTGGAGCTGTGGGCAACTTAATTACTGGGTGTGCTCTGAAGACCAATTACCTGTGGTTTCACTGCATTTGAATTCAGCACGCAAAATGTCACACAAAGCTTTAATTGATGTCTCTGACTGCAGGTAAACAAACGGGGAGCTACAGCAGGAGGATCCACGGAGGTCAGGAGCAGAACGACAGGAGGAGGTTTAACGCTCCTCAAACAGACAGTGGAGAAGCTCCTCAGGTGTTTGTGTTTGTGATGGTGTTTGACCTTTTTCATAAGGAGCTGTGGTCCTTTCTGCAGTTTGACCATCTAACCCCCAATTTCCACCGACTTCTTTCCGTTCCTCTGTGGATCAAAATCAAAATCTAAAACTCTTTTGGAAAGGACAACTGGACTTAGTTGTCCTTTCAACGAAGAACTGTAAATTATAGATGCTGCATCCTCAGTTTTAAACAACATCTCAAGGTTTACGCCCGACCTCCACCTCATCCTGATCGTCTCCTAAAAGGTCGTATCCTCCGATCGTAGCTGATCGTAACCATTCAAGTTAACGTGTCGATTTACACCGACTTCTTTCCGTTCCTCTGCGGATCGCCGGACTCCTCAGCTGATTACAAGAGTTCTATTTTTTCTGGACGCCCGAGCATGGCGGATAAATTCAGCACAGATTAACCCGTGCTGGAAAGGAAGTCGGGCACAGACACAAAATAAAACATCCGGCTTCTTTTCAAAATAAAACACTCCGTGTTTCAGGAGGATCGTATTTCACACCATGCAAACGGGCGGAGACGAACAAGTGAAAGGTTTTTAGACGTCATTTCACCCCGATGACACCATGGATGAGGAGATGCTGATTCTAGAAGTCTAGAAGTAGATTTCCTCCTCTGGAAGGACACAATCTACTGCTTATATGTCTATGTGTCTGTCTTTAGAGAGACAACTCGTTATCGCGCGGTTGAACGTGAATCTGCAGGTTCTTGTGAGTTCTTGTGATTACCGCCGTAATCCACCACGAAGTTCGCCTCATAAACAGGTCTGGTAGGAACTGGTGGACGGCGAAAATCGCTGTCATTCCGGATCAAAGCTGTTCTGGATGCGGTGGAAATTGTGGGTAAAAAGAGAGAAAACTAAAAGCTGCAGTTCTCAGAGTGTCCACACGAGGCAGTCTGCAGAAACGAGATTCAAAGAAAACCATCGTAGATTAAAATAGTCGTAGTCAGAGTTAAAATCGGATTAATCACCCAGTTCGGATCAACACACTGTACCCTGACACCTTGTGACGCTCGGTACGCTAATGTTAGCCGCGACTGTTCACCTGCAGACTCTCTGATTGGCTGAGCTCAAACTTGACTGTCGGATTTTAGATTCCCCTCCAGCTTCACTCAGACGTCAGAGCTGAGCAGCTTCTCTGAAACGTCCGTCACCGCTGAATGTGGTTGTACAGGCAGCCTGCCAGAACTATCTCCTGATTAGAGTGAATTTGCATTTTTCGGGTGGATTTCCTCTCCATGTATGCAGCGTGAAATCAAACAGGAAATCAAGGTGAATTTGTGGATCCAGGTGATAAAAGAGAAACCTGCCGAGAGGGGGTTCCCCTGTGGAGCGTCGTAAAATCCAACCTGAGGCCCTCAGCGCTCACACGAGAAGAGGAGCGGTACGAAGTCCTGAGGATATTGATCTTCACTCCTCCTCGGCTGCATATCCAAACATCCTGAGAGAAGAAGAGAGGAGAAGAACCTCTGATATAAGAGATTTCATCACAGACACCACAACAACTTCTCAGCACACGTGACTTTTATTTTGAAATCCAGCGGGGATCATGTTACAGAGCAAACCCAGCAGGTGTTTTGTGTGTAATCACAACAGACACAATGTTACTGTGAGAAATTAAGATAAGATAAGATGAAACTTTAATGCTGTGAGAGGGGAAACTGGGTCAGAGCAAACAGACGGAGGAGGATACAGCCGAGGAAACACCAACAGAAATACAGCAGAGCGGAGAGAGCGCGCTCAGATCTGACCGAAAACACGCCAAGAGTTCAGCCGATGAGGGAAACATCAGGACGGACTGAAACTGAATTTTCTGCACCTGAAATAAATCGATTATTTCTGCAGGATCCTCTCAGCCTGCGGTCATTTACAGAGACAAAAACCTGTTTGCTCAAAGTTCAGGTTGAACATTTGCTCCAGGGCACAAAGATCAGAGGATCTTACAGTCCAGAGACTCCGGGATCAGAACCAGCAACCGCTCCAGAAACCTGCACCTCAACCTTTAACCCGCTCCGCTCAGCAGAGGGGAGGCCGGCTGCTGAGAATCTGCTGCGTCCCTGAGCCCATGTTCCTGCTCCGATCGATACTGTCCTCCCTGTTCGTCACACACACACACACACACACACACACACACACACACACACAGTGTCAGGTTAAACGTAATCAGCCGCCTCCTCTGTGTTCGTCTCTCAGGCCAGCAGTTTTATCTCGGGCCTCTTTGCAACACCCACGAATGACAGACCAAAGTCCAACTTCTTATCAGAGGCTCTGCTGGCCACTCCGTCTGTGTGTGTGTGTGTGTGTGTGTGTGTGTGTGTGCGTCTGTCTGTCTGAGTGCATTAATGACACACTAACTGCCTCTCTGTAGCTGCGTTTATCTGAACGTCTCTCTTGTAGATTTATTTACAGCTCGTTCTTCTGACAGTTTCTCCTCTGAACATATTTTCCTGATTTCTGCTTCACTCTCGTTTCTCTCTCTCTCTCTCTCTCTCTCTCTCTCTCTCTCTCTCTCTCTCTCTCTCTCTCTGATCAGCTGTTCTCTATGTTTTTATATCACAGTTCTTCTGTTATCAAACTGTTGTTTTAAACTTCAAACTTTTCTCTATCAGAGCTCATTAAACCAAATCTTAGTTTTTAGAATTCTGACTTTCCTGACAGACGGTGTAAAAACTAACCGGGTTACTATGAGCCGGACCTGACTGGACTTTCAGCCCCTCATAGGAGCTGTTTTTGGAGCTGGCCTCGTAATTTTCTCCGGTGTATTTTCCTGTGGTGTGAAAATGTCAGAATACTCCTTCACCCACGTCACACTGACTCTAAAGCAAAAGTCGACGGTTTCAGCCTCCTGATATTTTACAGACAAACCTGTAAGATCAGTGAAACACGGCAGATCCTCTCATTTATAAACAGTCAGAACCACCTGGATTGTGCAGGTACGTGAGCACAGACTCGGACCTGAATCAGATCTACATGAAACCTGGATTATTTCACTTAAACTGATGATTGAAGACAGGAGTGTGAAGGTCGCTTAATGGTCAAACAAAGTTATAAATCCAGGTGTGTAGTGATGTAACGGAGCTTTTCATTGGCTAACATGTATCAGAGAACTTCTGTCATCCAGAGCAAAGGGTGGTTACTTTAAAGAAACTAGAATATAAAACATGTTTTCAGTTATTTCACTTTTTTCTGAAGTACATAATTCCTCATGTGTTCATTCATAGTTTTGATGCCTTCAGTCAGAATCTACAATGTAAACAGTCGTATAAAAATAAAGAAAAGACACTGAATGAGAAGGTGAGTCCAAACTTTTGGTCTGTTCTGTACGTGAACAAATCCTCATTTTTAAATATTCTCGTGTTGAAACTCAAAGACCCCTGAGAGGATCACCTGTTCAGGTGTCTCATCAGTCGACCATCATCCCGATCATCAGTCTGATGTGACTGTCTCCCTCCCTCACCTGTCTGTCCTTCCTAAAGAGGGAGCACAGAGCCTGAGGCCTGAACTGTAAGTGCTCTCTCTCTCTCTCTCTCCCTCCCTCCCTCTCTCTCTCTCTCCCTCCCTCTCCCCGGGCAATAATAACAAGTGTAAACAGTAGATCCACCTAACAGGATCCAGGATGCACTGCTTCATTTGCATTGCACATCTTGAAAGCACGCACCACCCTTTTTCTCTTTCTCTCTTTTAATCTTTCTTTCATTTGTTCTTCAATCCTCGTTTCTTCTCTCTCTTTATTCTTTCTTTCTTTCTCTCTCTCTGTCCTGTTGCATCTTTGAATGAGAATAAAACACCTGTTAAAGTCCTCTCATGAAAACACGGACTGCACCTTTAAAATACCTCCCCACTCTTCTATTTCGGTGGGACTCTCAGCACAGACAGTTTCGGTGTGTTTGGGCCTCAGACTGAGCAGCATGTGAAGCTTCTGCAGCTCTAAAATGAAGACGTCTTATTTTTGCATGACGCTCCACACTCGAGCACAGACGCTCTTTGTGCAGGTGAACCGGCTCGAAGGCTCCACGCCGCAATTCGCCGTCCCCGGCAGCACAGCCCGAGGGCAGCTGTCATCAAGTGTTCAACAGGGCGAGCAGAGAGACTGTTGCACCTCAGGAGATAAATATCCGTTAGTCTGTGACAGGAGGAGCGAAGCCCTCGCAGTCTGAAGCCCGGCTGACTCTCCTCAGAGCCGCTTTCAGACCTTCAAAAGCTGCAATTATGCAAAACAGGACGTGATGCAGTTTGTGATAAGATGGTATCTGAGGGAAGCTTTCTCACCAGAAACAGTCATCCTCCACCACAGTCACTCTGTCAGAGACCAGCTCAGGTCCACGTTCATCGTTTATTTAATCCACTTCAGAATAAAGTGTCTTTGTGTCGGAGTTCAGCGTGACGGTGAGGAGGCCACAGACCGAGACCTGAAGGTAGTCTTAGTGATCTCCAGAGGAACATCCTGACCTCAGGGCCGATACAGCGAACACTTCTACACTTCTACATGCAGGATACATGTCTATCAAATCTGAGCACGACCCGGGATTATGTTTTTATTTATATATATATACAGAAAGTATTCAGACCCCTTTAAACTTCTCACTCTTTGTTTCATTGCAGCCGTTTGCTAAAATCAAAACAGTCGTGAGCTGTAACGTCTGATATAGACAGGTGTGTGCCTTTCCTAGTCAAGTCCAATCAGTTTAATTAAACACAGATGGACTCCGATCAAGGAGTAGAACCATCTCAAGGAGGATCAGAAGAAATGGACAGAATGTGAGTTAAATATGAGTGTCACAGCAAAGGGTCTGAATACTTATGACCATGTGATATTTCAGTTTTTCTTTTTTAATAAATTTGCAAAAATTTCTACATATCTGTTTTTTTCTGTCAAGATGGGGTTCTAAGTGTACATTAATGACAAATAAAATGAACTTTTTTGATTTTAGAAAATGGCTGCAATGAAACAGAGAGTGAAAAGTTTAAAGGGGTCTGAATACTTTCTGTACCTTCTGTATATTCAGGGTTTGACATGAACTTTGTTCACATGTTCTCCGAAGTTGAAAAAGTTAGGAGCACACTAAGAACTTTAGGGGAACAATGAAAACTGATCAGATAATGTTTGTCTTATTGATCGATCTTAGTACTATTATTTAAAATCAATTTTTTTGTCTTTTAGGTTCACGATCTTGTTCTTTCGGTCATTACCCAAAGTTCATGACCATAGGTGAGGATCGGCACGTAGATCGACCGGTAAATCCAGAGTCTCTCCTTACGGCTCAGCTCTTTCTTCACCACGACTGATCGGTTAAGCGTCCGCATCACTGCCGACGCCGCTCCGATCCGCCTGTCGATCTCCCGCTCCATCCTACCCTCACTCGTGAACAAGATCCTGAGATACTTGAACTCCTCCATTTGAGGTAGGACCGCCCCTCCGACCTGGAGAAGAAAATCTACCTTTATCCAACTGAGGACCACGGCCTCAGACTTGGAGGTGCTGATTCACATCCCAGCCGCTTCACTCTCGGCTGTGACCCGCTCCAGCAAGAGCTGAAGGTCACTGCTCCACCAAGCAAGAAGAACCACATCATCCGCAAAAAGCAGCGACGGGATCCTCTGCCCGCCAAACTGGACACCGTCCACCCCCCGACTCTATAAAGGTTCTGGTCAGAACCGAACAGATTGAACCGATTATCTGCATTTTGATTTAATCAGTTTCATATTTTATTTTTTTTTAACTTAAAAAATGATAAAAATAAACTTTATTCATAAAACCTCTTTGAAAGCTGTAGTAACCGGTCGCTGCGGAGACAGACGTGAAAATAAAAAAGGTAAAAATATTGATCTGAGCTCCAGACTCCTCGTCACCTTTAGACATTTTTATTCATTTATAAATTTTCCTTATTTTTTAGTGACTGTTTGCTTTTTTTAAAATATGTGTAAATCATGATATAAACACTTCAGAGGTTTTTCCTCATTGTTGTTGTTTTTACTGCTCTCACTCTTATTTCCTGATTTCCTTTTTTAAACTAAATTTTATATTTTCTGAATATTTCACCAATAAAACTTCAACCAGAGGATCTCAGACAGCGACCAGTGTGAGTATGAGCGTCTCAAAGGTCACAGATGTAGGGTCTGCAGCTTTTTGGACAAACTTCACTAAAACACAAAGTTAAACTGACGTCCAGCAGCTCAAGTTAAACTTTAGTGAATAGCTGAATTATCCGTGTTTAATTCCTCCTGTTTAAAATCAGTCCCAACAGTGTGAAGACGAAGTCCAGATCCTGCAGCGTTGAAGCTCTGCGGTCTCCTCTCAGCGCCGATTCATTTATTGGGACATTCAGACTCTTATCAGCGGCGCTATCTCTCCCCTCAGAGTCCCGCTTTGGAAACTGGGTCAGAGGAGGGTCACAGATTACAGCGGAGAGGTGACCCGCGTGGGGCTCAGATATACAAACAGCATTTTTACCCTCTTTTGTGTTTCTGAAGGTTTCTCTCTTTGTTTCTGCAGCTGAACCTCAAAGCCGCAGATTTCTGTGTGTTCAGACCTGAACCTGTTTCCTCCACGAGGGGCCGAATAATGAGGCTCTATCAGTGTGGTCACCTGATTACTGTGGGGGGGCCGTTCAGAGTGGGACAGGTGAGTCATACCTGTGTGTGTGTGTGTGTGTGTGTGTGTGTGTGTGTGTGTGTATCAGGCGGGAGTTCTGCTATCTTATCAAACCGACTTCACCAAGGAGACTATTGTGTATGCAAGGTGACAAACTGCCTTATATTCCCCTTCAGTGCATGTGTGTGTTTTTATGAATGCGTGTGTGTGTGTGTGTGTGTGTGTGTGTGTGTGCTCTCTCAGGCGTCTGCATGTTGATCTTGTTTCATAAAAAAGTGAAATTGTCTGAGAAAAACTCAAATTTCTGCAGAAACAGGAAACAATTTGTGTCTCTTTTCAAACATTGTGACTCCTCGACTATTTGTGCATGTGTGTGAGTGCATGCATGTGTGTGTGTGTATCGAGTGTGTGTGCATGGAGTCTGTATCTCTGAGGCCTCGGGGCTCATGGTTGCTGATCCTGCGTGACAGAAAAGAAAAGGCAGCGACTGATACGTGACTCTGAGAGAACAGGGCTGGGTTAGGTAACTGACAGACAGACGGAGAGACAGACAGACAGGGAGACAGAGAAACAGACAGAGAAACAGACAGACAGACAGACAGACAGACAGACAGACAGACAGACAGACAGAGAAACAGACAGACAGACAGACAGACAGACCTGGCGTCAGCTGCAGGATCGAGGATCAATAAATGTTTTTTTTCCCTCTAAACTCTCAGAGAAGATCCTGCAGATTAAAGTTTGTAGGTCAGTCGGTGACCCTGAAAACCTTTTTATAAACCTTAAAAAAAGTCAGAATTTAAGCTCCGCCCCTCATCATCAAACAGAGCGACCCCGTAGATTTACAGGATTGAACTGTTTTTCTGGTCAGGGTCAGGGGCAGGGCGGTGGGTTTTGGAGCGGTCCGGCTCTCTCTGTGTGTTTCCTTTGAGGTTCTCAGTGTGATCCGGCCGTGTTTAGTCTAACAGTCCAACATGTCACACACTACAGTCATTTGGTCAGGAGCTGTTTCAACAAGACGCTGCTATTCCTGCAGGAAAACAGACACTGACTGACTGACAGACGGGCCGGTCTGATCTCTGACGGATCTGATGGATCTGGATTTACACGGTTCCTCTTTTTAAACTCCTTCAAGACCTGACAGGACAGGAGTCTGCCTCCCTCTGTAAACTCTAAACCGCTTAAAGAAATACACTCAGAGACGGTTTCTCGTCCTCTTCTAGGACAGGCAGGATAAAATCATCTCTGACCTTCATCTGAGAACACCTGAGAGACTCAGCGTCCGTCAGTTCAGCTCAGACTGAAGGATGATTTTGGAGCTGAATCTCAGATTAAAGGACCTCTCAATGTTTGAACTTTAATTCTTCATTTTATAGTTTTATTCTCTTCTGTGTTGGAAATGAAGCTGCTAAGATTGTTGATTTATTCAATCCAGAAAAATTCAGTGTCAAAGTTTGTTAAATTCAGTAAAAACTCCTGATTTTAAAACCTGAGTTTGTTCTTATTTTGGAGGATTATTAAAACCTGATAAACAGAAAGATGTAAAACTCTGAAAGAATCACAGCGGCTCCTTTTCTCCCACATTTTTGCCTTTTTAATAAGAAAAACTGAAACATGGATCATCGTCTGAATCACATTAAACCAACAAAAACAACAAAAACAATATATTATATCAGCACACTGTTTGAAAAGCAACATCATAGCTTAAATAAAGACATCATTTTCTTCTTCTTCTTCTCCACAGAGGACGTCATGTGACCTGAAACTTCGGCGTCCTCAGAATAATCCTTCAGTTCGTCGTCGTTTTCCGATCTCCGATCAGATCAGCTGTTTTTGAAGGAAAGGCACTTTTTCAGAGTTTGGACGGCGGCGTTTTTATTTGTGACGCCCTCTGACATTGTTCTCTGATCCCATTGAGCTGATGCATTGACAGTATGGGGGGGGGGGGTCTTAAGTATTGTTGTAACACACACAAACACACACACTATCAGCCCACCCGGCCTGTGGGAGCTCCATAGTGCAAAGTACTGTATGTAAATCTCCCATAGTGCATCTCTCCTCCCCTCCACTGTTTTAGTAACTGACTGAACTCCCCCGCTCTGCTCCTCCTCACCCCCCCGGCTCTCTGCTCCTCCCACATGTTACAGTCTGAGGGGGGGGGGGGGGGGGCAGGTCGCGCCCTCTTAAAGGTAACAACAGGAAACATTTGTGGGGATAAAAAAAACAGAAACAGGATTATTATCATTTTTTTTTACCACAGTGTCGTCTTCACCTGACAGAACGGTTCTTTCTTCATATCAACCGAAATAACAAACTCTTATTTTGAAAGGACGGGCCCCATGAGCTGGACTCCATCCTGCTGTGAAACGCTGTAACACACGAACAGTAACACCTGCCTGCAGCAGTAACCTGAAACTCTGAACTCTGGGTTTGTAACCGGTCGACCGAGCGCTACACAACGAGAAGATATATTAAAATTTATTCCCTTCATAAATAAATGCAAATACCCCCCCACCCCACCCCACCCACATTACCTCTATTTACATTTGTACAGAGACCAGACCCGACTCCCACACAACTGTCCTCATCATCATCATCATCAGACTCTTCTTCATCGAGCTCCACAAACACCAGAGAGAGAGAGAGAGAGAGAGAGAGGAGCTGCTCCTCTGCTGCACAAACAGGACGGCCATCTTAGAGAGAGAGAGAGAGAGAGAGAGAGAGAGAGCTCTGGTGTCCATGTTGGACAGGAAGAGGAAGCTCCATCTCGTCTCAGGCGTCCGTCCGTCCGTCTGTCCTTGTCCGTCCACATTAGGAGGCGTTGAGCACCGAGCGGCTGTACAGAGTTTGGTAATAAGCGCCTGAGTCCATGGTGGTGGGTCCTGGGCTGTCGTAGATCTGCTTGGCCCCCACAGGAGAGCCCCCGGCGTAGCTGTTGTAGGCCATCACCTGGTCCTGGTAGGACTTGAGGTCCATCTTCTGCTCGTTGGACATGAGGTTGGTGATGGAGAACGGGTGGTTGAAGTTGTAGTGGGGGTCCAGAGACTTGAGGGCGTCACTCTGTAGGTCCATGTGCTGCTGCATGGCGCTGGGCAGGAGGTTCCCCACTAAAGACTGCGGGTGGAGGAGCGGGTTGGAGGAGGAGGAGGAGGCTGAGAGGGACAGGGAGGACGGAGGGATGGAGGTGGAGGAGGAGGAGGAGGACGGCAGGGAGATGGGCGGGCTGTGGAGGTGCGAGGAGGACAGCGGAGGGCAGTCCAGAGGAACCAGGGAGTTTCTTTGGTGCGGCTGGTCGTCTGAAGAGCCCGGGTGGGAGTTGTCGGAGTGGGCGGAGTCAGCGCCCTCTGATCCTCCTGTAGGGCTGTGATCCTCCACCAGGTGGTCTCCGCCGTGTCCCCCTTTCCCCGAGCCCCCCTCCTGGCTCTTGTGTCCCTTCTTGGCGGTCTTGTCCTCGATCTTGAAGCGTTTCTGGCGCCGCAGGTAGCAGCCGTTCTCGAACATGTTCCCCGACTGCGGGTGCAGAGTCCAGTACGAACCTTTGCCCGGCTTGTCTGGCGAGCGAGCGACCTTCACAAAGCAGTCGTTAAAGGAGAGCGAGTGGCGGATGGAGTTCTGCCAACGCTGCTGGTTCTCTCGGTAGTAGGGGAACAGGTCCATGATCCACTGGTAGATCTCGTTGAGGGTCAGCATCTTGCTGCCGCTCTGCTGGATCGCCATGGTGATCAGAGAGATGTACGAGTACGGCGGCTTGGCGTGGGTCAGGGAGCGGCGGTACGGCTTCGGGGGAATCTCCTTGGGCCCGGCCCGGCTCAGGGTGGTGGTGGAGGGGTATCCCAGCTGGCTCATGGACTGACCCATGTTCTGGTAGTGGGACAGGGAGCTGAGGGAACCCGGAGCCGCGGGGCCCAGCTGAGTCAGAGAGCTGGAGCTGAGGGAGGAGGCCACCGGGGAGAGGGACATGTGAGTGGGCCCCGAGCCCATGGAGGCCAGAGGGGAGCTGCTGAGGGTGGAGCTCGGGTACGCCATGTTCATGCCTGCGGGGGCGGCGGTGGCCGGGTTCAGGTTGATGTAGCTGTTGATTGTTCCCATGGAGCCCATCGAACCCATCGAGCCCAGACCAGAGTTCATGGTGGTGGGAGAGGAATACATCTGCAGGAGAACAACAACAAGAAGAGGAGGAGGTCATTGACAGGAAACACGTCATCTCAGAACACACAGATCCACAGAACCGAACCGGAACACTCTAAAAAAAACCTGTTTTCTGTTGAGACTGACTCTGAGTTCTGCTGAAGGACTCTGAAACTCTGAGAGGAGAAGTTTGACTCCTTATCAATGCACAATGAAGCTCTCAGTGCGCGCGGAGGGGACATGGATTTCACACGCACGTGTTAACCTGAAAATGCGCAAAAAGCGCGTCACGGTGCCTCTCAGACACGCAGACAGACTCCTCCGCGACTCCGTGGAAAAACAAGTCCACTAAAATCTGACCTCCGAGAAGAAATCTGTTTATAAAAACGTCTTAATGTCCAAAAAGTGAATCTGAATCTGAAGTAAATCGAAGTGTATGGAAATAAAAACGAGTCAAAGTTTCAGACCGAGTCCAGGATCTCAGCGGGGGTCCGGGGCCTCTCTGCGGAACTTTATCAGTTTCTTTCTTGTCGGTTAATTTCATCAGCTGGAGGTGAGAACAGACCTGAGCTGCTGCTGATGGAATTAACTCTTAATTTAATTAGAGAAGGTGAAGAAAGTCCTCTTAACATTTACACCTGAACTGTGGAGACACTGAGCAGCTGTGAGGACTCAGAGGAGGACAACCTGTCCAGAAGTCAAAAACTTCCATTTTATAAATTATTTTAAAAAAACTGAATATTTTTATTTTTATCAGAATTATATTTTTTTAGGTTTAAAAATCGGTGAAATTAAAACTGGTGGATTTGAGGCCTTTAAAAAAAAGGTTTTAGTGTTTGAGCTGCTTCAACAAAAACATGAACAGATGTTAAAAAACAGGAAGAATTTTGACGGTTTTAAACTTTAATTTCTGTTTTTATATTTAGTCGTTTTTCTTTAAATAAAATCTCTCTCTCTCTCTCTCTCTCTCTCTCTCTCTCTCTCTCTCTCTCTCTCTCTCTCTCTCTGCTCCTCAGTTTTGGCCTGTTAACCGTAAATTTCGTTCGATCCTAAATCTTCTTTAATCTTCTCAAACGTTTGCTCTAAAGTCAATTATCAAACTTTAAAATATTGTCAACAGATTAATTTTATTCTTCTTAAAAGAATTTAAAATGTTTTGAGTTTTAAACTTTTTTAAACTCCTCATGTGCGTAAAAATAAAAACCTTTGTCTTTGTCACTTCAGATAAATTCATGACTGTTTTAAAAATGAGGGAAACAAAACTGTGAGATTCATCTGCAGTATTTTTTTTTACATATTCACTCGTATGTTCAGGTTTTTCTCGTTGTTTTTTACCTCGCTGGCCTCGCTGTAGAAAGTATTCCACTCTGGTAGATCATGGGCTTCCATCTTCACAGAGCTCAACATCCCCAAAACACCTCTTCGAAGGAGAAACTGTCACCGAGCTCTTCAGGTTATAATGTCAGAAATTAAATGATCAAATATCCTCCGGAAAAAAAGTTTAAAGTTGTCAGAAAAAAAAGTCCAAAGTGAAGTTTTCTCCTCTCCGTCAGGAAAGAAGGAGAAACTGTCGAACAGTGAAGAGCAGAGAGATCAAAAGTCGATATTTCTTCCTCTTCAGTCATCCATCGTTTCGTAACTTTAATCTTATAAAACTCTACAGACTCTTTTTTTCTTCTTCTTGGTTTTTCTGCTCCGACACGCGCTGCAGCAGGCGGAGGTGAGGCGCGCAAATCCAGCAGAGGAACCTGGACGTCCTCCTCTTATAAGGTGCTGCTGGGTCCCGCCCCGCTCCTGACATTTGAATGCCGTGATGGGATCCAGGAAGGGCCCCGCAAAAAGGCCGATGTGGCCCCCTGGCGTGCTGTATATTGGCCCTGCGGCTGCACCGGGGCCACCCGGACGACTGAGTGTCCCAGAGTCCTTCAGAGACAGAGCTGAGGGGTTTCTTCATCAGGGTTAGAGGTTAATGAGGAGGTCAGGAGGTTATTATCGATCTCCGTGTATCTGTGTGGGTGTGGGTGTGTGGTGGGGGGGTGTCAGAGTCGTTAATTCCCTTGGCTATCACTTGTCTGGGGTCGTAAACCTTTTAACAGGTTCTCGGCGGGTTTGTAACCGCCCCTCTGGTATCAGATTCTGGGTTTTGGTAGTCAAATATTGTACCGATGGATTTAAATGACAAAAGGAGGACTATCAGAAAATCTGAGATCCAGATCAGAAACAACGAACTCCCACTAAAAACCTCTGAGAGTCACTGAAACAGATTTGATTAAAGATTGTGTTTTAACAGAAAAAAACTTCTAATCATGTCAGAGGGTCAGAAGAGACTCTCCATGGTGCGTAAAACCAGGATCCTGTTCGTGCGTAATTTGCGCGTAAAAGTGGATTCGGTTCTAATCCTGTGAATCTTGTCTCCTGAGGTTCCAGAGTTGGAGTCAGTGAGGCCTCCTGTTAGCTCCTCACACATGTCCTTCTCCTCTCTCTCCATAAATAATGTAAGCCTGGTGTCATGACTGCTGGGCTGCAGAATACACATCAGTCCGGGTGCAGACGGAGGCCCGTGAATGTCAATGCCTCAGCTAATGGTCACTCAATGGACATGTAATTGATGCGCAGGCGGGAGGTCGACTGGATTAGACTGTGAGAGAAGGTCCGAGAAATCAGAAATAACAGGAAGGACGTGGAGGGACACGGTGAGGGCAGACAGACCCGGGTTCGAGGGTTCTTCTCTGCTCCTCAGGCCTTCATTCGAGCCTCCACTGAAGATCTGACTGAACTGTTTGTCATATTCCTTTAATAATTCCCCCTCCACCTGACCTGAGTGCAGCAGACCCCCTTCACCTGCGCAGACTCCGCAGAGGTCTCTCCTGTTTGCTGAAGCCGTCAGGTCGATTAACAGGCGGAGTGATCTCACACCTCAGTCTGCGTAATGATGTAATTAAGCCTGAGAGAGACCCGACTCTTCATCTGCACCAGGATACAGATGAAGAGAAGGAAGGAGAGAGGAGTCTGACCTCCAACATCTTCATGGAGAAACGAGAAATAAAACAAAGATCAGCTTCACAGGATCATGTCAGCTCAGGTGTGTGTGTGTTTTTGAAACCTTTCAGTGAGCAGGTTTTAGTCAATCTGACTATTTCCAACACGAGGAAAAGCAAAAGCCTGATGGTGTCTGATAATTTTGAAACGATAAAACTTCAAAATCTTCATCTGAGGATCTTTAAGGAGCTGAAAAAAATCTGCACAAAAACTTTAAATAAAACAAAAGAGTTAAAAAGGAACAGATATGATCCACAGAGTCAGATCTCAATCCTTTAATTCTTATTCTCGTGTTTTTATTCAGACTCAATTATCTTTGTGCTGCTTTCAGGTGACAGTGGGAAATCTGAAAACTTCTCCAACACCACCAGAGAGAAACTCTTCTCCAGGTAAGACAGTTCGGTTTGTTCTGATCAGTTTCTCTTCTACATTGAGATTAAATGTTTTGAACTTTAATAATCAAACACTGAGTGAATCTCCAGACATGTGAGTATAGATCTGTCTTTATTAGATGCTGTATCTGTTCCTTTTCTATCCAAACTCACATTCAGACACCTCCTCTCTCTGCAGGCCGTTTCTCATGCCAATGGGCCTCCATCCACCGTCCATTAACACCTCTATAATTGGTTTAACAAAGGCTGTAATGAGCTGACACTAATGGAGGAAACGACACATCAGTCTGCCTTTAAGGGGGGGTACCTTCACCTGCGCATGCTCAGAGGTCTTCTTCAGTTCTGGGTCAGAACTTCACTGAGCTCGTCTTTATTCCATCATGATCCTCCATCCCAGGTCCATACAGGTCTATCCTATCAGAACAGGCTGAGCTCAACAGAGTAACAGCGCCATCTCGTGGCTCTGAGGAGAGGGATTCTTTTCAAAATAAAAGTCTTTACTGAGTTAAGAGGAAGAGTGTGAAAGTTTGACCCAAACAAACCTGAACTAAACTAACATGAAGTTTAAGGTTTCATTTGTTTCCACAGCAGCCCAGAGTTCTCTGTGTGGGTTCAGATTCATGAACAAGATAAACTATTTTCCTTTATTAGTCCCACAGGAGGAAACTACAGTTTTCACATGATCAGATTTCAGTCAAGAAAAGGAACAACAGACACAAGTTTCCATCCCATTTTATTCCTGCTGTCTAGTTTGTACATGAAGCTGCAGTAAAACCGAAAGATCTAAAACAGACACGTGAAGGAGAGAGAGACAGAGAGAGAGAGAGAAGTCAGTGTGCGGAGCGACGCAGGAGAGAACGTATCAAACAATGAAACAGAACGCCGACTTTACAAAAGCTTCAGATAAAAGCAAAAAGCCGTCTGATGGCGAGCGAAGGGAAACAGATTCAGGTTAATGATTGACTGAACAATAAAAAAGTCGTAGCTCTCCTACTTCCCCTGAGGTTCCCAGCTCACAAACAGACGGTAAACATTTGAAAAAGGCACTTAACAAGGGATTGCATGGTATATCAGTGCATATTCAACTCAAATCCACTTCTTTACGGGTTCGTCTTCAGAACAGACCTGATCTGTGGGACCACCTCTTTAAACCCGACACGCCCAAAGAGCAGCAGAGCACGGGTCCGGGTCTGGAACCGTTTGATGAAGAAGAAGAAAACTAGTTTCATTCTGGCCAAGAAATATAGCAGTATATAATTTTAACAAAACATTTACATCCAGAAAAGCTCAGTTTGGGCAAAAATCACCTTTGGTTTGAGTGTGGGTCTGTACCGGGGGGTACAAACGGCACATAAAGGGAGAATCCACCCAAAACACAGATCCACAGATGTTGGATTGTTCAGAGTAAAATGACTCACAGACACACACACACACATCTGCAGAGTGTGTGTTTGTTTTGAAATGTGCTTTTAGTCTCTGCTGCTGATTCTTCTCCTCTGACCTGTTACATTACTCTGACATGCCGTAGGTTCAGTTCACTTCAAATGGGATTGTTTTAAAAACTGCTGTCAACTTTAAAATCCAGTCTGTGTAAAGGCTGCTCTGTCTTTAATTTAGAAACCGCTCCATGAAGATCGGACCCTCAGGGATGACGGATGGACTCTCGGCGTTTTGGGAGGATTCTCACTTTGAAAACAAAAGGTTGAAGAAATGAAACACAAACGCGTTCAGGTACATTTTCCAAATCGTTGCATATACTATGACAAAGGATTGCACATACATACTATAATAGATCTATAGAGTATATAACATTTAAAATTCTAGTATAAAATATAGTCCCAGGCCTATCATAGATATCTTTTCATATACATTCGTGGTAAAGCGTAGGCTGAGCTGGTTCTGTATGAAAGCAACATTTAGAACCACAGAGAGTCTGAGGCTGGTGGACAGACTCTCCGGATGGTTTGATTTTCTCTGAGTCAAAGTCAGCTTTAGTCAAAACTGAAACTGGTACACAGACGCGCTGGGAAATGTTACTGCTGGCATTCTGTCCACGCCGTCTCCTCTGAGTTTGAAGAGGAGAGACTGAAGCTGCGCTCGGACACCGATTCAGTCAGGAAACCCAAAATCACCTGAAGGTTAAACTTGAACTTTCGTGTCAGTTGAAAAAACACAAATATTGAATTGAAGCTGAGTGTTGGTAGGACACACTTGTCAGACGGTTCAGTTTCAACTTGGTTTGACTCGGACCGGTCTGGACATCACTGAGAACGGTCCGAAATCTTTTCTCCTCTTACAACCGTTTTTTTTTTTTTTTCATGGACAAGAAAAATAAAACAATAGATTTTTATTTCTGTATCTGAGTTGTTTGGGTTTTTAAAAATAAGCTCTTGTGCTTTTTCACAATATCAGCTGTACAGTGATTGTCAACAGGAGACCGTGGCTACTTTCAGAGAGTTTGGAGGACGAGCTTTAAGAAATGACGGAGAAAAATCTGCAGCTGAGCTCGACTTTTCAAAAAAGAAACATTTATCGGCATCTGTCAGTCAGATTTCAGACTGAAACGCCTCTTCATGATTAAATTTAACCATCAATATTCATTATTTTGCATTTGCATGTTTTAGTCAATGTGTTATTTTCCCAGCATGCAGAGAGTTTATAGTGGTCATGATATCTAACTCTGCCTAAAGTAGCCACCGTCCAGCTGTTGATTGGTGATCAATATCTGAGTGTAGCTCATGTGACCAAAGTGTCTCCCCTCGTCACGACAGGAACTGATTCATGAGTGAAAGTGGAACATTCTCATCGCAGGTAAAGGTGAGGGCGGTCTTTGCAACGTTAGTCAAATATGTGCGGTGAGGTCTGATGGAGTTATTGATATCAGGTGGTGGTGGTGGTGGTGGGGGTGTAAGGACCTGTGTGTCTCTGTGTTGGTTCTCCTCCTCCGGGTCTCTCTGCTGTCCAGTGCAGATGTTTCCTCCTGATGTTTGACAGGACTCTGTGAAAACCACGAAAAACAAACTTGTTATTATCAAAAATATTCTGATCGTACTTCTAACCAGCGACATCCAGATGTGCTGATGAAGATATCTGCATGTGGGTGGAGTCTTAAAAAAGGAGACCGGACTTGAGACCACATGGTTTCAGATGGTTGTGGTGGACCTACCTGTTGCTGTCTTGGGTCCTGTTTCCATGACGATCATCATCACGTCTCTCTCTCTTTCTTGACCGTGACGTCTCCACTTCCAGATCCGGCTCCACTGTTAGATCCACTCCCAGCACCCGGTGCAGATGCTCCTGCAGCTCCAGGACCAGGTCCGGGCCCGGTCCCAGCTCCGGATGCAGCAGCAGCTGGTGCAGCCCCTGCCCCACCAGTCCCCAGTATAGTGGAGACCTCTCCCTGCATGAAGGCCCAAGGGGGACTGTTAGGAGAGTTATCCAGGGGACAGCGCTCTCCACTGGGGCAGTACACCTCACCGTCCCCCCGCCGGGTCTGGATGTACACCCTGGTACAGGGGAAGCAGAACCTGAACACGAGGAGAGGAGAAAACACGACTTTAGTGAGATATGATGACTATGATTATTCTAATGACAAGAGCTCAAACAGTCTTTAAAGGGATATTCCGGCGTAAAATTAATTTAGGGTCAAACACACCGTAACACCGAGTTAGACCCCCCCTCCAGAGATGAATGTTGCCGACCGCTTGCTTCTCTAGTTATACCAACTTTAGTAACGACCGCAGGATAGTAATAGCAACAGGATAGCTCACCTACTCTCTTCCAGCAGCCGAGACCTCAGGCCAGTCCATCACGGACTACAGCGGGGTGCCGCAGCTCAAGGAAGAACATTTATGATCATTTCTTCATGGAAATACAATCAGACCGAGACGCTAAGACAGAAGAACTACCGCGTCTGTAAAATGATTAATATGGTGATTATTACTTCAAGGAAATGATGAAGAAATGATCATAAATGTTCTTCGTTGAGCTGCGGCACCCCGCTGTAGTCCGTAATGGACTGGCCTGAGGTCTCTCTACAAACAAGCGGCTGCTGGAAGAGAGTAGGTGAGTTGTGTTTAGACTCTTTGATGAGTCAAAGTTAAAAAGATGTTTGGTGTCTAGTACTATGTCTGTGACCCTATATGTCCTGTTGATGAAGTTAGGTGCTGTTCTGAGCATTATTTGTGGTTATAGAGTGGCGTTTTGGTTGGGGGCGTGGCTCTCTGTATTACTATCCTGCGGTCGTTACTAAAGTTGGTATAACTAGAGAAGAAAGCGGTCGACAACATTCATCTCTGGAGGGGGGGTCTAACTCGGTGTGTTTAATCCTGACTTAGTTTTACACCAGAATATCCCTTTCATGACTCACAATGTTTTAATTATGGACCCACTAAAGTCCTCTTTATAGAGCAGAACTCTAAAAGGTCAAACTAAGAAGCACTGAGGAGCTTCAGCCCAGTGGTTTAATTGGACAGAGTGGGAGTTCTGGTTTGATTCCAACCTGCAGCTCTTTACTGATGTCACTCTCCACCCTCACTCCACCCACCGTCCTGCGTCTCCAGAACCCTCAAAATAAACCGGATACACAAAACCAACACGGATCAGAACCACACAGACCTGTGTCCCGGCACTGATGGACACTGAACAAAGTGTGTGTCCTCCAGCCTCTCGTGACACAGGGTGCAGGACAGGGTGTTTCCGGTGGAGTGGGTGTTGCCGGCAGATGCAGACCCCAGCTCGGAGGCCCCGCTGTGGGGTAACGCCGCAGCCGTGGTCGCTGCCTCTGCGGAGGTGCTGGACCCCAGGGGCTCCCCTCCGGACCTGGCGGTGAGGGGGCGAGGCTGCCTGGCTGGAGATGAAGCCGGTTTGGGGCTCGTCTGACTGACACCCCCGGCCATGGATGAGGACGAGGACGGCAGACCCGAACTCTTACTGGTACTGCTCCCCCCGGACACAGAACTGTGGATCTGGGACTGGATCTTGGGCTGGTTCTGGGACGAGCTGAGCTCTCGCTCCAACTCTGGGGTGATAAACGGGGCGATCCCCATCCCGATGCCCAGCTGTCTGCGGCTCATCTCGGCCAGAACCGGGGCCTGGAAGAGCATGGGGTTACTCATGGGGGCGGTCCGGGCCGTCAGACCCGCAGGCATCCCCGCAAGAAGCCCGTGCGGGATCCCTGCGATACTCTGAGTGACCAGACTGGGGGGGATGGCGGCCCCCAGCATGGGTCTCCGGCTCCCGCTGGGACTCTGCCGGTTCACCTCAGGGGGGGGTTGTCCGTCCCGGTGCAGCCCGTTGGGCGGCACGCGTATCGCCGACCCGGTCCCCTCCCCTCTCCGGTCGAAGCGGTCTGGATGCGGTCTGCCCCCGTCTGCCGGGGCCTCTCCTCGGCCAGGTGTGCCGTGTTTATTCGGTGAAGGACCAGGTGAGCGGACGGTTCCGTCCTGGATCCCGTGGGTCCGTTTCAGCTGTCGCGCGCTGGTGATCAGGAACTCGATCTGGTTGGCTCCCTCGTAGTTCACGCACCCACGGCAGACCACCTCACTGAAGTCCCACACCACGGTCCACGGCATCTTGGGCAGGTCGCACAGGTAGCACCACTGGCGCCTGGATGAGGAGGGGGACGACATGTCTGGAGACGGACCACCAGAACCGAGCCCAGCTAGCTTCCTCCTGAGCTAACAGACGTTAGCCGAGTTAACCTATTTATCTTCGACAGGTGCACGCCCTCTTTTTACTGACGACTTTCAGGTCAAACTGGCTTCAAACTGCTGTAGAACAGAATTAAACATTCTTATTGTGTGAAATAAACTCAAACTTTGCGGTTATTTTGCTCTTTTCTTCATGTGTTTGTTTTGTTTGCTCACTTCGGCCTGTTCTTGGCTCCTGTTGTCAACTGCTTTCCCGACAGACGCGAGAACGTTACGTAATCCTGCGAGGTGCACTATGGGTATTAGAGTTTTCCCAACCAGTTGTAGCCATAGATATATAATGGAGACCGACGTCCGGGCATGGCGGCCATTTTGCTACGGTCAGCTCGTCCACTCCTAACATTCCAGTCTACAGTTCATGTAACATTTAAATAACCATAGATTGATTAATTTTAAACCGATTTTCAAACAGTTTAGTTTGTAACAAACCTCAGAGTTTTAGTTATGTTCCTGCATACTCAAGAATAATTTTAACCATGGATTTTCATAAATAAACATTAAACAGATAGGTAGAGCAACAGCTATAGGCCTACACACACAAGGCAGTTATAACTCACTTTTACAGACTTGCTTTTATGTTATGCCGTCTTTCCTCTTTTTTTCTTTTACTTCTATCTTATTTCGACTTATTTTAGTCTTTGTTTTACTTATAACCTTTTCTTATTTTACCTTTAAGGCCTTTTATTGTTTTTTATTGTTTTTCCTGCTCAATTTTATTATTCTATTTTATCATTAATATTACCATCATTATTATTTAATTATGATATTACTGGGTCAACTTTGTAATATGTACTTGGTCTCACTCACAGCGAGTCTGTTAGCCAAGTTAGACAGCTGATAAACACAAACACATCCACAAAGACTGACATTTAGACTAAATAAATAAAATATAAGCTGTTATCAAAGAAATTAAAATCTCGATTGTGGTCTCAGCCTTTACAAAGTGACTCAAAGTTAGTTCTTGCGCATAAATATCTGTGAAACAACTGTTCTTCATGATTAAGTCTTTTTTTCTCAAAGTAAATCTGATATTTTAATACGTCCAAACATCCCGACTCATAGCCACGTTACTAAGGTCTGTAATAAACTAAACCATTTGTAAATCTGTCAAGATTTCAGCGAGTTAAGAGGATTTTTGATCATGTAGATTACTCACCTCCAGTCAGCTACCAGAGAGCGGACCAGAATGGTATACTGGAGTAAGATGGCCGCCGGTGACTCCGCCTCATAGAGTCATCTAGCCTCTCCTACAATATCTATGTTTTAGCTTTGGCTGTTCCCGGACTACAACCGTCGCTGACACGGAAGTGAAGTGATTAAAGGTCGTAGTTCATTTGGTGTCAACACATGTGCGTTTGTCCTCACAGCCATGCGTGTTTGTGGAGAAAACTTTAAATTTCAGAGTTTGTGATCTTTAAAAAAAACTTTAACATGCCTAAAGACATTTCATCGAGCGAAGATGAAGCGGACTCTCCCACTCTCAGCACGAAATCACCTGAAAAGCAGAAAGAAAGCGGTGAGTGAACTCTGTGTGTGTCTGTGTGTGGAGGAGGAGGTGAAGCTGCTGTTGGTGCTAAAAGAGTCAGTTTACAGTCTCGGTACATGTGACTGAATATAATTAGATCTTGTGTTTCAGTTCATCAGTTCAACATCTATCCCTGAGACCCAAATTATGAACAGGAGGATTATTTATATGTGTAATCCCATATTTAATTCAGAGTTATTAAGGCTAATAGAGGATAAAATCACCATCAAGAAGATATGAGTCATTCTACCTGAACTGTCCGAAATGGGGCTGGAAATATCACAACATTTTTCCCATATGTATTGTACCGCATCTAAAGGTCACATATCTACTAAAAGAACTGTTAATTTTTATATCGTATTTTCAGAATGTTTTTCAATGTTTTACCTGTCCCAAAATTTGTCACAACTGAAACATTTTACTAAAACAATATATAATATTAACCTTTTAAGTTTTTTTCTTCTCTTGTCTGCAGCTTTAAATTTTTTACAAAATTTTCAGGACAGTTTTCACAACTAAATTAATAAAAATCAATATTTTAACAAATTTCAAAATTCGAATTGTAAAATTCTTCAAAAATAAAATTTAATATTTCCTTTAAAATGTCTAATTTTTATCAGATTGATTCCAAAGTTAATATTTAAAGAAACAGAATATAAAGTTATCAAATTAGTGGGTTAATATATTAGTTGATAACTCATTACAAACAACCTTGTGTTTCAGTCGTGACTTCACTGTTTCGGTTGTGGCAAGGTTACAACCCTCAAATTTAGGCTATTCCTACGGCGAGAAAGTCACAAACACTTATTTCATAATATGTTTGATAGAAGAGTTTAATTTTTGAAGAGAAATAACCGCTTGTTTGTGGGGGAGCCCTGAGAAGTCAAAAACCAAGTGCAGCGGAGTTTCACAGCTCAAGGAAGAACATTTATTACTTTATGGAAATGCAATCAGACCGAGACGCTAAGGCAGAAGAACAAACTTTTTTATTTAAATGAGAGTAAAAATAAACTCTTTCTGGTAGATTCTCCTTTTCTGAGCTGCTCCTGTTTTTTTCCGCCCTGAAAGTAAACTCACTGAGCTGAAAAACAACAACTTTCATAAATGTGTTTTTTCCTCACATCTGTTATTCTTGATTTTAATTGTCCGTTGTGTTATTGATCGAATAAGTGCGTGCCTTTCATATCCACAGATAAGAAGTCCACCAAGTTCGAGTGTCCTGCTGACTTTGTGTCCTTCTGCCATAAACCCTGCAGCAGCACTCTGACAGAGAGTCTGAGGAACAACGAGAGCGAGCTGTGGCTCATCAAAGCTCCTGCTAACTTTAACCCAGAATGGTGGGTACAATCCCACCTCACACTTATTCATGAGGAAGAAAACACACATAGATGTTCAGTTTTCAGAGACTTTTGTCTTTGCAAATTTGATGGTCATTCAGTGAAGAGATTTGCATGAATTCAGATCCAAATCAGAGTGAAAGGTCAGGTGGTCTGCAAGGTCCAGATGTTTGGTTTAAACCTCTGAACTTTGACATGTTTGTATGTCTGACCTTGTCTCCCCTCCCTTCGTCCAGCTTCAGTAGTATGAAGGTGCCGCTCTCTGGTCTCCGGACGATGAAGGTTCGTGTAGCTGCAGGCGGAGAGCAGACCAGGAGCAGCAAACAGATCTACAGCGTCCTGGCGTCCACGCATGCATCCTCAGATTTGTGTCTGCTCACCAGCGACAAGCAGGAGTCAGGTCGAGCAGCTTTTGGCCCCGCCTTCTGCGGCGTGCTGAACATTTGTGAGAGTTACGGAGACAGCAGCACCAATCAGGCGCCTCAGGTCATCCCCGCCACTCCAGCGCCCTCCATCCCACCGGGGCTCAGGCAGCGGTTTCACCCCTTTGGCAGTAGGACCCCCACGCTGACCTGTAAGGCGAAAAGGGAGGCAGACGGACAGGCGGAGGAAGATGAAGGGCAAACAAAGAAGAAGAAGAGAAAGAAAGAAAAAGGAGTAAAAGCAGAGCGAGCAGATGAGGAGGAGGTGAAAATAAAGGAGGAGCCTGTGGCTGAAACTCAGGAGGAACTGATGATGGAGGTCAGTGACGCAGTGGAGGAGAAGAGGAAGAAGAAGAAGAAAAAGAAAGACAGAGAGCGAGAGGAGGAAGGTGTGGAGCACAGCATGATGGTGAACATGGAGGAAATAACGGTGAAAAGTGAACCAGTGGACACTTTGTACGGAGATGTCGTGGACGGTTCAGGGAAGAAGAAGAAAAAGAAGAAGAAAAACAAAACTGATGATGACTAAATGTTTGTTTTTGACCTTATGAACCTGTTTCAGAGACACTTTTTAATAATAATGAACTCCAGATTGTTGCTGGATCACTCAGTGTTCGGGTCACTTTGGCAGGTCTTGACATTCAGACGGAATAAACAACATCTGAAATCAGTGGAACTCTCACATGAAATAAAGAGATTTGATCCCAGAGTGTGTGAGGAAAACACTCCTCCATCATCCTGAGGTCAGAGGGGGACAGTTTCATGTATCGAGAGCCACGGGCGTCTCTGACGACATCAGGATCTGTGTGTTTTCTGCCAAACTGTGTTGTCATGTTTGTGTATATTTCTACAGGTTTAGAACTAAAGATGGAAGAATGATTCATCCTGAAGGTATTCCCTTATTTTGAAAGGGTCTGAGTCATGAATTGGAGAAATGATTTGTGTGCAGAAAACCACATGTCAGAAAATAAAACCCAGAAGTGATCAAAGACAGAAAATAAAAAGCATGTGTTTTTGTCCTGCAGTCGTCGGGAGTGAGTCTTCCAGCACAGCACTACATTTTCCTCCCGTACCTGTTACTACACTGTGACATTTTCTATCATATTATAATATAGTATTTATATAATGCTATACTATTACACTTTTTATCATACGTTAACTAGAACGTTCTTTGTCTTACCACACTGATATTTTTATCATACTATACTATGATAATTTTTTAAATAATATTAGACCTATTTTTTCATACTATGCTGATTTTTTTAAGTACTATACTGTTACATCTTTATCTTATCTTTTCAATGCTATACTATGTCATTTTTTATCATTGTATAATATGACCTTTTACATCATACTATACTATGACTTTTTACCATACTTACTTTTTCATGACATTTTAAAACTACATACTATACTATAACTTTTTTTTTATCATACTGTCATATGACCTTTTTAATCATAATATACTATGACATTTTTTAATCATACTATACTATGACATTTTTTATCATCATATAATATGATTGTTTTAATCGTTCTATACTATGAAATTTTTTAACAGCCTATACCATGACATTTTTTTCATATTTAAATTTGAAATTATCATAGTATACAATGAAATTTTTAGGCAAACCAAATTAAAACTTTTTTTTCATACAATTTCATGACATTTTTAAACAAACTATACTACAATATTTTTTAAAATACTATACTCTTATTTTTTTATACCAAAAATTAATTTTTTTTTTATCACACTATACTATGGCATTTTTCATCATACTATCATATGACAAATTTTAACACACTTAACTATGACAATTATTATTATATTTTACTTTGACATTTTTTATCATACTATACTATGACATTTTTCATCATAATATACTATGACAAATTTAAACATACTTTACTATGACCTTTTGAATCTAGTGGCTGTGACATTTTTTTTTATCTTACTATGCTATGACATTTTTTATCATAGTATATGACCTTTTTAATAATACCATACTATGACATTTTTTCATCATACTATACTTTGACATTTTTTATCATACTATAATATGACCTTTTTAATAATACCATTCTATGACATTTTTTTTATCATACTTTACTATGAGATTTTTTTTATCATACTATAACATGACTTTTTCAATCATACTATACTATGACATTTTTTTATCATACTTTACTATGACATTTTTTATCATACTATACTATGACATTTGTTTCATATTTAAAATTTGAAATTATCATAGTATACAATTAAACTGTTTTGGCATACTATGATATGACATTTTTTAAAACCAAATTAAAACTTTCTCATCACACTTTTTCATGATATTTTTAAACATGCTATACTAATTTTTTATCATTCAATACTATGACATTTTCATCAAACTATACTATGACAAATTTTAACATACTCTTCTGATATTTTTTTTTTATCGTACTTTACTTTATCAATCTATACTGACAATTTTTAATCATACTATACTATGACAATTTTTTAAACATACTAAACTATGACATTTTTAAACATAGTGTAATATGACCTTTTGAATCACAACTGTACTGTTACATTTTTTATCATACTATACTTTGATATTTTGTATCATACTATACTATGACATTTTTTTATCATACCATACTATGACATTTTTTTTCATACTATACTACTATATTTTTTATCATAGTATAATATGACCTTTGAATCACAACTGTACTGTGACATTTTTTATCATACTATACTTTGACATTTTGTATCATACTATGCTATGACAAATTTAAACATACTATACTATGACATTTTTTTTATCATACTTTACTATGACATTTTTTTATCATACTATACTATGACATTTTTTTATCATACCATACTATGACATTTTTTTTCATACTATTCTACTATATTTTTTTATCATAGTATAATATGACCTTTGAATCACAACTGTACTGTGACATTTTTCATACTATACTACGGCATTTTTTGTCATAGAATAATATGCCCTTTTTAACCATACTATACCATGACATTTTTTAACCATACTATACTATGACATTTTGATTCATATTATACTGACATTTTTTTTCATACTATACTACGACATTTTTTATCATAGTTTAATATGATTTTTTGAAACATAACTTTACTGTGACAAATTTTTATCATACTATACTCTGACATTTTGTATCATACTATACTATTACAACTTTTAACATACTACACTGACTTTTTTTATCATACTATACTACAATTGTTTTATCATACTATAATATGAACTTTTTTATCATACTATACTATAGCATTTTTAATCATACTGTACTATGACACATTTTAAGTTACTATACTATGAAATTTTTTTATCATACTATGCTATGACATTTTTTTTTAAAATTATAATATGCCCTTTTTAATTTAAATTTGAGATTATTATCATAGTACACAATGACATTTTCTTTGGCATAATATACTTTGAATTTTTTTTCATACCAAATTGATTTTTTTTGATAATACTATTTCTTGTCATTTTTAAAACAAACTATACTATAACAATTTTTTTAACATACTATACAATTTTTTTTTTTTCAAAACCAAAATTAGAATTTTTCATCATACAATACTTTGACAAATTTTAGAATACTATACTATGACAATTTTTATCATGGTATAATATGACCTTTTTAATCATACTATACTATGACACTTTTTTTATCATACTTTACTTCGACATTTTTCATCATACTATACTATGACAAATTTTTAAATACTACACTATGACAATTTTCTTTATATCATACTATAAAATTTTTCATCACGGTATTATATGACCTTTTAAATCATACTATGCTGTGACATGTTGTATCATACTATAATATGACATTTTTATCATTATATACTATGACAATTTTGAACATACAATACCAAGACAATTGACATTTTTAAATATACTTTACCATGACATTTTTTCGTACAAATTCTTTTTTTATTATTATACTTTACTATGATATTTTTATTGTATTATACCAAGACTTTTTTTTAACATATTAAACAATGAGAATTTTCTCATCTCAAAATTAGAATTATCATACTTTGCTATGACAAATTTTTAACATACTTTAACATTTTTATCATACCATACTATGACATTTTTAACTTACCATTTTTTTTCAAACTAAAATAACATATATCAGAGGCAAGGCAAGGCAAGTTTATTTGTAAACAACATTCCTACACAAGGCAATTTAAAATGCTTTACAGATGCAAGGAAAAACATTAAAACAATTAGAAAAAAAGGAGAGATCAGAACAATTAAAATTAAGAAGCATAAAACAAATTCAAGCAAAAAGACTGAAAAATTTAAGATAAAAAATATTTTATATTTTATAACTCATACTATACTATGACATTTCATTTCAATTCATATTGTACAACTTAATCTATACCGCCATTTTTTTTATCATACTACACTTTGACATTATTTCACATACTATACTACGACCTTTCATTCTAGACAATGATATTTCTATTATACTATACTACGCAATTTTTTTTATACTATACTATGATTTTTTTTAACCATACTATACTGTGACATTTTTACCGAACTATACTTTGACATTATTGTCATACTATACTATGACAATTTTTACCATACTATACTATGCCGTTTTTTTTATCATGCTATACTATTAAATTTCTATCATACTATACTTTGAGAAAATTATCATATTATACTTTGATATTTTTGTCTTACTATCCAATGACCTGTTTTAAAATACTTAACTATGAAATTTTTTATCATACCTTGACATTTTTTTTACCGTACAATACTCTGATTTTATTGGCATACTTAACCATGACATTTTTTTAAAATACTATACTATGATTCTTTTAATCATACTTCACCTGACATTTTTACCACATTATACTACGAAATTTATTCATCATATTTATGATATTTTTTTCAACCAACATTTGAAATCATGAAATCATTTGAAACATACCATACAATACATTATTTGTCAAACCAAAATTCAAAATTTTTACATACTATACTATGACCTTTTTTTATGCCAGATAATAATATTTCTATCATATTATACCATGCAATTTTTTTTTCACACCATATCATGATTTTTTTAAATTCATACTATACTGACATTTTTACCGTACTGTACTATGACATTTAGTTATCATACTATACTATGAAATTATAATCATACTATACTTTGACATTATTTTCATACTATAATATGATTTTTTTGGCATACCATACCATGGCAAATTTTAGTCATACCATACTATGACATTTCTTTTTATCATTCTATACTTTGACATTTATCAAAATACTTTACTATGACATTTTTTATTAAACTATTCTATGATCCTTTAATCATACTGTACTGTAACATTTTTATCATACTATACTACAAAATTTAGTCATTATATTTATTATGACATTTTTTTCATACCAACATTTAGAAACTTTATCATTATATACTATGACATTTTTAAACATACCATGACATGTTTTGTCATACCACAATTTAAATTTTTTAATCATACTAAACAATGACATTTTTGCCATATTATACCAAGACTTTTTTAACATACTATACTATGAGGTTTTTTTTAATACCAAAATTTGAATTTTTCATCATCCTATACTATGTCGTATTTAATCATACTTTACTATGACTTCATCAACATACTAAACAATGACATTTTTTTTTCATACCAAATTTTTTTTTAACAAACTATACTATGACAGACTTTAACATACCAAATTATTACCTTTTTTGCCGAAATTTACATTTTTATCATACTTAAGTATGAATTTTTTTAATAATACCAAAATTTGAAATATTTATCATACTATACTATGACATTTTTAAGATACTATATTTGGAATTTATATTATACCAAAATTTGATTTTTTTTTTATCATACTATGTCATAGATTAACACATTATACTAGGATTTTTTTCATACCTTAATTTAAAACTTTTTTAGCGTCTTTACTACGATATTTTTATCATAGCATACTATGACATTTTTAACATACTATACTGAGTTGTTTTTTTTAAACCAAAATTTTTATTTTTATCATACTATACTTTGACATTTTTAATCATACTACACTATGAATTTTTTTTTTTACCTAAATTCAATTTTTTTTATCATACCTTTCTATGACATTTTTAACATACTTTACTATGAAATGTTTTTTCATTCCATACTGTGAAATTTTTTTAACATTCTATACTTTGACATTTTTTCCTTACTTTACTATAAGATTTTTTTTTTCAAAATATAATACGATATTTATCATAGGCAAGGAAAGGCAAGTTTATCTGTATTACAACATTTATACACAAGGCATTTTTAAAGTGCTTTGCAGATGAAAGTAAATACTTAAAATATAGAAAAAAGAGAAGATTAAAACAATTAAAATTAAGAAGTGTTAAACGTATTAAAGTAAAAAGACAAAACAATTAGAGATCAAAAACATTTTATATGTTTTAACTCATACTACACTATGACAGTTTTTAACATACTACACTATGACACTTTTTTTAATCACGCTATACTATGATATTTTAATCATACTGAACTATAAAACTTTTGTTCATACTGTACAATGTTGTACTATGCCATTTAGTAATTTTGCTATACTTTAAAATTTTAATCATACTATACTTTGACATTTTTGTCTTACCATACTATGACATTTTTTTTCATACTATACAATGAAATTTTTATCCTTTCTTACTTTGACCTTTTTATCTTACTATACCATGGCATTCTTTTTCATACTATACTATAACATTTTTTTATCATGCTTAACCATGATATTTCTATCATACTATACTATGACATTTTTTAATACTTTACTATGATTATTTAAATCATACAATACTGTGACATTTATGCCATACCATACTATGCCATTAAGTAATCATACTGTACTTTGACATTCTTTTATCATATTTATACTTAAACAGATGCTGGTTGACACCACAGTTATAAATCTGCACACGTCCAGCAGAAGCGTCCTTCTGTTCAGTGTTGGGATGAAGTTCAGCAAAGCAGTGAGCAGCTCTGGCAGGTAGATGGCGCCACAGTCCAGCCTGTCTCTGCAGAGAGCAGCAGCCTGCAGCCTCTGAACCACCTCATAGCGTCTTATTTACGCGCCACCATCCATCTCCACTAATGTAACACCAGTCTTCTGCTGCTGTTGAGACACACACAAAGACAAGATTTATAATTTTCCTTCTTTTTTCAGCGGAGGCAGCAGATCAGGTCTCTGTGACACTCAGGTGAAAAATTTCAGCCCCGGCTCTGCAGCCTCCTCCCTCCCTCCCTCCCTCTCTTCTCCTCCCCCTCCTCCCCCTCTCTGCTCTGCACTGGAGTATGGTCCTGCTTCTTAATGAGCTCGGGCACCTCTGGCGCTATCATACTCTAACCATCTGTGGTAACCCTCTGCACACGCTGCAAGGCCGTATTGATCCAGCTCTCACTGATTTTATGAGCCTTTAGAGGTCAAAGGGACCTGAAGGAAACCGAACCGTGTTCCAGCTCCAAACATGAACTGTTGAAACAGTTTCCTCCTCACTGAAGCAGACCTGACTCACTGTCATGTTGTGTAGTTTTCTGGTGCAGCGGGCAGCAGTCAGGGCAGGGAGCCACAGATGTCAGATCCTAGGATCAAGCTTTACCCCGTGAGTCACATCTGATGCCAGATTTCTGTGTATCCTCACAGGTATGTTGAATGTGTGTGTGAGAGTCTGCAGGCCTGAGTGGTTTTACTGCACAGCTGCATATGCCTCTGTGTGTGTGTGTGTGTGTGTGTGTGTGCGCAGCTGACTGAGCTCAAAGTCATAAATCTAATCCCACGGTTAAATCTCCATAAAATACTTTAACTCTAAATTTGCTCCATGCTCGAATATTTCCGACAACAAATCTGTTTTCTGTAAAACTTCAAACTCACTCAGGTTAAACCGACAGAGACCAACTCATTTATCTAAATAACTTCATAGTTTACAGCTCAGTTCTGACATATAATGAGTTTTCATAGTTTCACAAACAGACATTAACAACGTGATGCTAAACAAAGCTCATGTTTCTGACGTACGGCTGAGTGTTTGAGCAGCGTGAAAAAAGAGGTGAGATCATTTTCATCAAACACAAACATAATCAGGTGATCCAGGAGAAAAGGAGCCGTATAGAATAAAAGAGCTTTTCTCAGTCAAACCCTATTTAATACAAACTAACTTAAACATATCTAAACATTCTTCTACATGATTTATCCTGTTATTTTTTGGGGGGAAATGCTGCTAAATTATCGGTCTAAAACATATTTTTCTCTTTAAGAAAACCAAGTTTATCAGGTTTTGTCGCCTCGTGAATTTTAACAGCTGTTATCATCATTAAATTTGTCTGTTTTATCAAATAAAAACAAACCACAAAAACATGATATCAGAGTTATTTACGGCCCACCTGCTCTGCTAACGTCAGCGCTGATATCGGCCTTTAAAAAACTGATATTTGTTGATCACTGAATCTAATATTAGGAATATAAATAATCCAGATCAGAGAGTCTCACTGTGAGTTTAACAGCCTCTCTAATGGAACAATAACAACATGACATTAAACACTAAATAAGAAACTAAAAAAGGATTTAATCGTCCTTCTGAACCAGCCGAGAGCTCAGCCAGTTACCTTCCACACATCCAGTTAGCAAATGTCCTTAAACTGGTGAAATGAGCGTCTCCTTTACAGCCCGGGGTCTTTGCTGCTGCTCTACCTGCCTCAATACTCGGGCTGGGATGGTATGTTTTTCTCCTGATTCGATTCTTCTACGATGTTTTGGATGCCGATTCAGTTTAAATCGCGATTCTACGATATTGTCAATTATCTCGATCTTTAGTCTGCGTTTTTAACTCCAGTGAAACAGTTGAATGATCGTCTACGGACTATTCCAGGAACCGTATTTCCCTAAAAATACACATCACATGTAAGTCAGTTTTTGAGATTTATTCTTAAATTAAAAAAAAAAACAAAAAAAAAAACATTAAAATTGATTAAAAAATTGTAAAACAAAAAATCGCGATACTTCTGTGAATGGACTTTTTCTCCCACCCCTACTCAAAACCTCCAAATATGAGGGGATGGTCAAAGCTCTAAAGTCCAGACTGAAATAAAAAGTTATCTGACTCCAGTTTTTGTTCTTTCTCTTGTATTTTAGAGGAGTTATGAATCAGAGCGTGGAGATTAATTTGGACCAAATAAAAGTTATTTCAGTGAACGTGTCTGAATTTCTGCTGCTCGGATTGAGTCACTCGGAGGTTTTTTATCCTGCTGCTTCATGTGTCGGTGTGAACACACTCATGTCAGCTGTTCAGTTTAGAAACAGCTTCCTGTAACATCTGGGACGTTTGATTAAAGGAGACAAAATCAATTCAGTTTCGCTGTAGCTTCAGTTTTCAGCTCCTCCAGGAAAACCAACAAAGCTTCAGCGCAGGAAAACTGAAACTGAATAAACCAGCCGATCAGATTCTGTAGATTTTTAGTCCACGTTAAAAATTCAACTTTGCATTCCCTAAATTAAAATCAGTCTGTGTTCATGTTCAGAAATAAACACCAGTGTACTCCTTCTTTAAAAACGACGTCAGTGATCCCTTCATCGTCGTCTATAACCTCTGTGAGATCACCTGTGAGGTGGAGACAGTTTGGATGTTCCTCTTATTGGACTGTTGTCCAGGTCAGGAGCTCCTTCAGTTTCCGTCTTTCCTCCGTCTGACTGTGAGTTTGTCGTGCTGCAGTCTGGTCAATAATGATCCTGTAACATGAAGAATTCACTGTCAGTCATATTTCCCCACAAACACACAGAAGTACAGCGTCTCAGAGTTATCATCTCACTTGTTCGTCCGCCCTCACAGACGTCTCTCTCTCTCCTCGTCTCTCTCTCTGCACACAGAAGCTCAGGCCGGCTTCTCATTTACACCTCCCTCACCGCTTCTTCCAGGGAAAGGAAAATAATTGGGTTCTTTTTCGAGGAGGAAGCTGATGAGCAGCAGGTCAGATTCACACACCTGCTGGCAAACGTACGAGCCGGGGGAGGTAAAGGAGTAATGGTCTCAGCTACTGTAACAACGTCTGCTGCACTGCCCTCAAGCTGGGCTCCTCACCCTGCAGAACAATGAACCTGCAGCTGAAAACAAGCTCTGCTGATGTACATGTAGCTTCAAGTTTCCGCTGCAAGAAGACAAGAGAGCTGCAAAGACCTGGAGGATCTCCATGAGAAGACAGAGGCTGCAGATTCAGACCAAAAAAACTAAGAGAAGAACCGGAGAGAGGAAGTTTAAGAAAACCTGAAAGTCCAACAAAGAGCAAACTTACTGCAGTCTTCCTCACAGGATGTTGTCAGTCAGCTGATTCATGGAGGTTCGGGGGTCCGTGCCGCTATTATCAGAATTATTTAACCTTTTGAATCATCAGACCACAAGAGTCTGTTTGGATCATGATGGTTTGAATACTTGGATATTTTTATTTTGGTCATTTTAGACAAAATCAGCTCCTGTTCAGACAGACAAACTCCACCTGAAGATTTAAGTAAAGATATAAACTTTTTTAAGGCGCACGTCTAAAATTTTGTTTCAATGATGAATTATTTTCAGTTGGAAACGTGTTTAACTAAATGAAGCGCCTCTCAGCGCCCCCTGCAGGCCACTATTGTCTTCATCACGATCGTCTTTAGCTGCTCTTGTTGTCAGGGTTCATATTTTGCCCTCTTTGCTTTAATTCACGAACATCAGCAGCTGAAACGTTTCTTCGGCTCTCTGCAGCAGACTCCCGTTTGTAAGAGTTTTTCCGCCTGGTTGTTTCTGACTGTGCAGCCTGTTTGTTAAGGAGATCTCGGGGCTGCTGCAGCAGGTTCGTCCTTGTCTTCTGCTCTCAGCCGGTGTGCAGCTCCAGAGAGGGAGGGAGGGAGACATCCGAACACATCAGGCTGATTATGTAAGGTGGATCACTGTCTCTCCCCTCCAGCTCTTCACCGCAGTGTCACTTCTCATGAAGTCACACCTGCAGCTGTGGAGCAAATAAACAGGTAAAGTCTCCGCCGTAGAGAGGCAGCAGACTCTTCTCTCACCCGGCTGTTGTGTCAGATAAGGAGCCGTTTCTACGCCGAGGTAAAACAGCCTCGGAGTTTACAGTAAAACCAGCCGGGCGCCTCCTCGTTCTCACTCTGAAACATCCTGAAAGAGAAAAGATAAAATCCTCCTTTTTACTGGGAAATTACAAATTTACAGCAGCGATAAAATACAAAAGAGAAACTTAAGAGATAAAATATACATGAGTTTTATTTACAGCTGTAAAATCAGATCTCCTTCGTATCGATCTGATCTTGTTTACAACCTGAAGTCAATCCCACTGACCTTTGACCCCTGACACAGTGAGGTTAAGGTGAGTAGGATGTATTAACCTCCAGCTCCTCGGTGGTGAACCGCTGTACTCGGGTTCAACACAGACCTACACTTCAGATTCAATCAGAATAAAAGACAAATAAAACTTCAAGTGTCTCTTCACGGCTAACGGCGGTCTGATATCAATGTTCGTCAGTTTAGAATGTGGGGTGTGTATCGTATGTGTGCTGACCTTCGACCTTCTCTGCTCCAGGTCTGCATGTCCAGGAAAATGAAGATTTCAGATCTACGGTGGCCGAGAACTGCCACTGCTGCAAATAAAAAAAAAAAGACATGGTGCAGATAATAAAAAAACATGACGGAAATTCACGATTAGGCCCGACCGATATATAAAAAAATATATATATATATACTGTAGATATACTGTAGACTACAGGAAGACCGACTGATCAAACTCGGACTGTGTTTATTAGAGCCAATCAGAGGTGAAGGAGGCGGGACTTTACCCGACCGTCCTACAAAAAAAAAAAAAAAAAAAAAATATATATATATATATATATATATATATATATATATATCGTGTTCAGCTCCCAGCATGCATTGCTCACGTCTACTGCATAGCGCATACACAGCGCGCCCTCTAGCGGCGATCTTAAGCCACAACAGTCACACGTTAACCCTTTAATGCCTGAAACCACAAATTATGACCCGAAAATTCACATTTTTTTGGAGCTGAAATGTTTATTTGATTTACTACTGAAAACCTAAAAAATCAAAATGTCCTTAAAATTTAACAAACATATTTATTTATCTGGTTTGACACATTAGATGTTTTTGGAAATTGATAAACTACCAGAGGACATTTTTATTATTTATCGACTGTATTCAGGTGTTTTTTTAGTAATTTGTTGATCATATTGATTTGATAGAAGTTTATAAAAGTATATATATCAAATATGATACAAAAGACATTAAAGGGTTAAACATATTTCTCAATCACAAACACAGACATTAAAATAAACGTTTTTCACCATGAGGCTCAACAGCAAATAAAGGTCAGTAAACCCAAACTGTACTTTTATAAGGGTTACATTTAATCAAACAGTTTTTTTGTCACAGCAGCGTCAGTGAGAGTTAAAGCTCCAGTGAGGAGTTTTTTAACGTTTATGAAATAGACTGAAATTCATTTAAACGCCTGAATGTGAAATATTAAAGGAAACAAGACTGAAACTTTTTGAAATTCTCATTTTTAATGCCTGAAACTGGAAAAAAAAAGTGGCAGAAGAAAAATAATTGTTTTTATATTTTCTTATTAAAATTTCACCATTAATGATAAATGTCAGTTTAAGGACAAAGGGGGCGCCAAAATCGACTCAAACTAAAGGTTCCCCACAGGAGCTTTAAGACAATAAAAGAAAGTGAACATTTGTGCTGATTTATATTAAGATTTCTGTGTTTTTAAGATTTTAAACTTAAATCAAACTTTGGAAACTGGATCAGAAATGTTTTAATCAGAGGAAATCTTCCACCGTTACCAAACAAGAGAATTAAAAATATTTCTGTCCAACAATAACTGAAGGAAAGTCTGTGAGCGGATTTTTAATAAACTGTAATTTTAGTGTCAGTGTTTAAAAACCTAAAAAACAGAGAAATGAGGCGGAGAGGATCAGAGCTGTGATTGGTGGCTGGGTCAGGTATTAACCCCTCAAATATCTGATTTTAACAGATTTTTTTTTTAGCTGCTTTTGACACAGAACTGTCAGAAAACACGGTGACCTCTCTAACATGGTCTGTTTTTCACACAGTTGGAAAAACCTGAAATCCAAACAGACTGAATCTGATTTAAAGGATGAAAAAACCTCACTGACCCTGAACACGCCTGGTCCAGAAGTTTCACTACAAACATTTTTATATTACAGTTAATCACATTTTTACAAACACTTACTAATATTGTTTAAAGTTTTACCTCCATGTCAGAAATACAAACTTCACTGTGTTTCATTGTCAGCTGTGATTCAGTGAGTTTGACTGATAATGAGTGAACGTACCGACTGTGAGTGTGTGACGGAGCTGCAGCAGAGTCTCCACCTGAAAAACAGAAAAATGTTTTATAATTTTATTTTTTATAATTTTATTTTTTATTATTTTATTTTTTATTTTTTATAATTTTATTTTTTATTTTTTATTCTGGACTTTTTGGTCCAAAAATAAGATCGGACCAAAAATTCAGGAGAGTCCTCGCTCAGGTAAAGCTGGGCTGAGACATTAAGGAGGGGGGCATTAAGGTGTCAGAGTGACGAAATATAACAACCCGAGTGTGTGAGTGTGTGTGTGTATGAGTGTGTGTGTATGAGTGTGTGTGTGTGTGTGTGTGTGTGTGTGCAGCAGGATGAGCGGCTGCAGTGCTGTCTGCGAGGAGGAGGAGAAGGAGGATGAATAATAAATGCAGTCTTAAGTTTGGATCCAACGTGTTCAGACTACAGAGCAGAGCAGAGGCCTTTCCTCGGCCCCGCAGAGTCCCTTCAAAAGCCCCCCCCCCCCCACCCCCGCCCCCCCCTCCTCCGAGCCGCTGTGGGGGAGGAGGGGGGAGTTATCGGGGTAATGAATTGGAGAACCAATTCTCTCCTGCCCTTCGCTCCCTCTGCAGTCCTCTCTCTCTCTCTCTCTCTCTCTCTCTCTACTGGTGCGCCTTGCTCCAGCCGGCCTGCGGCAATGTGAGCGTTGCCATGGAAACGTGGACCTGCCAAGGACCAGTGCGATGGAGAGAGCGAGAGAGTGAGAGAGAGAGAGAGAGAGAGGAGGGGTGCTGCTCATCAATGTCCTAGAGCCCCTTAGAGCTCCCCCTCCCCAACAGAAACACACACACACACACACACACACACACACACACACACACACACACACACACATACACACACACTTCAGGCATGCTGTTGAAACATCACAAAGAGCTGGAGTCTCAAAATCTGCAGCAGAAACAGTGAAAAACCTTCAGCAGCCTCGCCCGCTGTTTCCAGCCTCCAATAATCGTCTCTGATCAATAACAGGATCAATAACTCTGATCAATAAGAGGATGTTTGAAGCTCATTTGAATCTATTCCTTCATTATTTTCACATCAGCTCAGTGTTCCTGCTGTAGTTTTATAAAAATGTCTCTTTTGATGCTGATTTAAGAGTCCTCTGAAGGGTCCAAAGACAGAAATGAGTGTTTTCACTTTAACTCAGACCAGCTGCTGAAACATGGAGACGACCGTCACCTCCATCACCTCCATCACCTCCATCACCTCCGTATCTTTATCAACATCTCACAGAAATATGCAGAAATCCAACAGGTTTGAATCACAGCTCATATTTCTCCTCATGTCTGACTTCAGGCAGGAGGAGTTCAGTCTAAATGTGGTCAAATATGAAAAAAGCAAAATCTGACGAGTAAATTTAAAAATATTCTCATGTCACAATTACATGAAACTTTTAATTTATGCATATTAAAAACCTAAACCTATAGAACAGCCGACCTAAATCACTTATGAGTTAAATTATGATGAAATGAACTCATTCATTAAATAGATCAGTTTCCTGTTTTCTTCTCTCTCTGACAAAAACAGAAATAAAAACATCGACTGCAGTTTGATGATGATGATGATGATGATCTGAGCTCCTGCTGTTGTTTTAAAGCTCTGATGTTTTTTCTCCATCGTCTGTTAAATAACCTAAAGTCACCGTTTCAGGAGCTGATTTTGAACAGCAGGAGAGTTACGCTCTGAATTTTGATAAAAACATCTTCACAAAGTTGGGATGTGAAAATGTGTCGATGGTTTGATGAGTTTTATTTCTGCAGAGGATCTGATGTGTCCTGTTTTCCCCTCTGTGTTTGTAAAAGCTCTGAGATAATAAACTCTTTTTAAACACGAGTGTATTTATACATATATTAACATATATATTTATATATGGTGGTCATTGAGGAGTCCTCGTTTGTTGGATTATCGACCTTTTAAATAAAACAGGAACACCGTCTGATCAACGTCACGCTCGATAAAGAAACAGACTGAAGACTAATTTCTGACCCGATCCACATCAGTGCCTCTTATTAATGAAATTAAAGGAGTTCGAGTAAAAATGGGGAACTTAGCGCCCCCTAGTGGCAGAAAACACAGAAGCACAAACCTGATTTTTAGATTTCATTCAGAGCTTTTCTTAGTTAAATAAAGAAGACTGTGCAGCTTTGATTTTTTAATTTTGTTAATGCATCATTAAAAACATATATTTGTTAAACATACATGAGTCTGTTCTTCAGTCTGAGCAGCTCTGACCTTCACCTGTTCCCCTTATTTTGATATTTTAGCCTCCGTCAGGTCAGTGAATCTCCCAGAATCCTCCGTTTCTCCATCAGATCCTCTCGCTGGTCGTTTTTAATCACAGCGCTGCTGCAGCCTCTCGACACATTAGGCTCCGCCCTGCAGGGGGGTCTCTCCACCTGTCTCTGAGACCCCCAAACAGCACACGAAGCCTGTCTGGAGACATTAGACTGAGAGAGAGGTGTGATGTATGGAAGTCAGCCGAGATGGTCCTGACGCCTCGGGCGGCAACACGCCACACTCACAGAGGAACAACAAAACACACAAAACACACAAAAACACACTAAACACACACAAAGGTGGGGTCTTTTCTGAAGGTGACTGTGTTTGAGTCGGGGGGGTAAACAGGATCAAACAGGATCCAGAGACGGGGCTCATCAGGACGTTTTTAACCTCACAGGGATCAAATGTAGGGGAGACCGGGCAGAGTTGTAACACAACATTTCCACTGATCAGGCGTAGAGATCCCAGATCAGATCAGACCAGTGACTTCTGAGCAGGTTTGCAAAATTCTGGGAATTTTCAAAGTTGGAAACTTTCCACAGAAATTAACAAGCATTAATCTGAAATGTAGAAAACTGAAGGTCGGTCCTCGACAGGAACTTTAATATAGTTGGTGAAAATATCTTGTATCATAATCTTGACTAAAACAACCAGATTCAATGTAAGTCCACTCCTCAATCACATGATCACAGCACACTCATTACTGCCATAGACTGTATATAGAATAGACGCCGTCTGCCTCCTCTCTCCGAGAACAGCGCCCTCTGGTGACGGGCTGCAGTATAGGTCCTAAACCCCGCCTCCTTATGGAGCTGTGGACAAACTTTATAAATGAATGACACAGAATATAAATGTTTCTCCCCCCTGGTTGTGATGTTGACATGTAGTTACTGTCGGACTGGTTTGTGCTCAAGTCCTCTTTTTTCTGTACAGCTCCATTTTTAAAAGTTATTAGGGGGTTCATGTTTTCTATGACTGACACCTGATACAGCCTATGGGAGGACAGAGATTGTGTAGATGATTACTGCAGGGCTATTGAGGCCACACCCCCCACATGTACTGTGCATTCCTCCATCACATGATTGACAGATGATTTCTTGAACCCTGGAGGCCAAAGACCAAGACATTTGAGTCCAGCGACTGCAGAGAGTCGAGGAAGTTTGGATAATATTATGGGGTAAATAGATTTGATCTATTATAGTATTAATATTTAACGATGATTTTTCATTTCATCAACCATTTAAGGGTTGAGTTTATTCTGGTGGTGGAAGTTTCCTCAGATGTGATTCTGTTTCTTCTTAATCCTGACAGACGGTTTTCTGTAACCAAACAATCATTTAGACATTAATTATTAAATATTTTAAAGACCATTCCAGCTGTTTCACCGACTATATTTCTGTTCATTGTTTTAGTGTTTTTACAAACTCTTTTGTTATTTATTCTACAGTTAACAATTTGAGTTATTTCCAAAATTCCTCAGTTTAACTTCTCATGAAAGTTTCTGGAAATGTTTCGCCCCTTTGCAACAGCCCTCCGTCTGCAGCTGTAGATTTATTGACTGATCAGTTATTTTCTGTTTTCAAAAGTCCTCTTTTTTGACACCGAGCTCCTTCGTTGTGCGGTCTGTCCCTTTTTCCACACTGGTTTCCTTTGTCATGCCCTTTCCTTCCTTTCCTCATCATTTCCTTGTCTCCTCTCCTCTCTCCTCGTCCCAGTAAAATCCAGCAGACGGGGAATAAACGTCAGGACTCAGCGGGATTCAAACAGATTTAGTGATTCGGTGAGCTCGCGGTATCCTTGAATCTCTGTGTTTCTGCGCTCTGCTTTTAACTTATTATGTTTGCCGGTCATTTAATAACCCGACGATAATCTGATCAGGGTAAGTGCTCAGGAAAAAAGAGGATGAAATGAAGCTTTCTTTATTCTCTCGAGCCAGACAGATGAGATTTCAGGGTTTTAATCAAAACGGCAACAAGACAATTTCACGGGGAAAAAAAGTTCATCGTTCATTAGAGTGAGAGAAAAATCAATCTGCAGGAACGTGAGGTATATTAGGAAAAACCTTATTACAGTTCGGACTTATATATTTATTAAATCCATAACCAGAGGACATGTCGGCGAGTCTGAGAGAGTTTAACGAAGAATAACCGAGTTTATCGATCTGTGAGGTGAAAAAAACAAAAACTAGAAAAGAAAAAGAAGAAAATATACTAAAATAACTCGATCAGAGTGAACGTTGTTGTCAGAACAGCTTTGACCACAGGGGGCGCCAGAGTCCACACAGACAGGAAATCTCTCACAGGAGCTTTAAAGGTTCAGTAAAAGCAGGTTTGGCTCTAAAGACCCACAAAACTGAAAAATAACCTCCATGACACAAACGTCGTTCGTCAAATTCGTGCCTCAAACGCCATCGCAGTTTCGTGCCGTCTGAGGAGGGCTGAGGTACCAGAAGAGTCGGGTCACATTCAACAGTTTTACCAAACAAGTCTGTTTTATTTTACCAGAAGCTTCCATGACGGGACTCCCACTGAGACCACCCAGGAGGACGATGAGACGTGACTCATTCAGAGGAACAGAGCGCTCTGAGGTGGACGTGTTTTCATCACCTGGTCCTCGGTCTGAGTCCGGCCCTCCTCTCTGTCCTCTCTGTCCTCTCTGACAGCAGCAGCGCCTGAAAACAATGAAATCATGTCAGTCCAGACGTGCGACTTGTTGTCAGGGTCAGAGGTCAAGTGAGTGCACTTTGAGGCTTGGAGGAGCGGCGGAGTTTTCCGGACGGACAAACTGGAACAGAAAGAGAATATTTATGTAACAAACTCGACTCCAGATAATCCGCCTTTACATAAGTCAGATTATAGCAGAGCGCCGCAACCAGAGCGCCGCAACCAGAGCGACCAGAGACACGGGAGACACGAGAGACACGGGAGACGCGGTCTGAGGGAGGAAATATATAAACTGACAGAGTATATAGGGGGGACAGAGAGAGAGAGAGAGAGGGAGAGAGAGAGAGAGAGAGAGAGAGGAACAAAGAGAGAGAGAGAGAGAGAGAGAGAGAGAGAGACAGAGAGAGAGAGAGGGAGAGAGAGAGAGAGAGAGAGAGAGAGAGAGAGAGAGAGAGAGAGAGAGGGAGGGAGAGAGAGAGAGAGAGAGAGAAACAAAGAGAGAGAGAGAGAGAGAGAGAAACAAAGAGAGAGAGAGAGAGAGAGAGAAGGAGGGAGAGGGAGAGAGAGAGAGAGAGGAACAAAGAGAGAGAGAGAGAGAGAGAGAGAGAGAGAGAGAGAAACAAAGAGAGAGAGAGAGAGAGAGAGAGAGAGAGGGAGAGAGAGAGAGAGAGAGAGAGAGAGAAACAAAGAGAGAGAGAGAGAGAGAGAGAGAGAGAGAAACAAAGAGAGAGAGAGAGAGAGAGAGAGAGAGAGAGAGAGAGAGAGAGAGAGAGAGAGAGAGAGAGAGAGAGAGAGAGAAACAAAGAGAGAGAGAGAGAGAGAAAGAGGGAGAGAGAGAGAGAGAGAGAGAGAGAGAGAGAGAGAGAGAGAGAGAGAGAGAGAGAGAGAGAGAGAGAGAGAGAGAGAGAGAGAGAGAGAGGGAGGGAGAGGGAGAGAGAGAGAGAGAGAGAGAAACAAAGAGGGAGAGAGAGAAACAAAGAGAGAGAGAGAGAGGGAGGGAGAGAGAGAGAGAGAGTGAGAGAGAGAGAGAGAGAGAAACAAAGAGAGAGAGAGAGAGAGAGAGAGAGAGAGAGAGAGAGAGAGAGAGAGAGAGAGAGAGAGAGAGAGAGAGAGCTCTTTCTTCTCCTCTGGAAGTTCAGGAACAGTTTTTTCATCTCAGTTTTTTCACTTCATCAGATTCATAAAGAAACATTTTTTACTTGGTTTCATAAAATCTAAATTCATCCGAATGTTCGACAGATCATCACCGAGTTCAAACTGTATAATCTAAAACATCACTGAAACACAGGAACACTTTGACCTTCATGACGACCTTTTTTGGTGACACATGAGAGACCGAACAGAAGAGCGGGATATGAAACGGTTCAACACGTTACGACAGGATGTAAAACTTACTTGTTTTTTGTGGAGAAGCAGAACCAGGACCAGGGCCTGGTGGTCTCTGTTCCACTTATACCTCAGGTTAGCTGCTCGGGTTCAGGGTCCAGTTTTGACTCCCTCTCTCCTCTTCATCGGCTATTGTTGTTTCCAGTCCTCAGGTCTCCGGCAGATGGTGGCCCAGCAGGACTTCAGGGAGAGTGACAGTCCTCCTTTGACACCCGGGTCTTCTCTGATCCAGCATCCTGAACTCTGACCTGAGTCTAAATGAGGTCTTGAAGACTCGAGGCACTTCAGGGAAGGTGTGAACCATCAGGACAGAAGCTCTGAGAGAGAAACGATCATCATTATGGCTGTACTCTGAAATCAGACCCAGGATGAGGTCTGGATTTACTTTCTTTACAGATGATGTGGTTTTCAGTTTTCAGAGGAGCGGTGGTTCGGCTCACCTTCATCCTGAGGTATCAGAAACAGAGACCCCCTCCCTGGTCTGGGTGTCTCAGAGAAGATCCTCCATGATGGGCCATCAGCTTCCTGTAATCTTATAATCCAGGTCGATATCTGAGGTGAAGTGTGCAGGTGAACAGAACAGCTCCTGAAGACTGTGGCCAAAATGTCCAGAGCTCCCCCTGCTGGTGGGCTGCAGTAAGAGAATATAAGGTTTATCTCCATCCATGTTTATCAAGTGTTATAAGCAGAGAGAATTATGTATTATAAAGGTTTGGTTTACTCAGAATAATGTGCTGATAATACACAACATCATATATGGTATGAGAAAGAAAGTCTAAATTAGACCGTGTCGGTGAATATTTCAGATTTTACAGTAAAACTTCATTTAGTGTTTAATCAAAAGTTTGATTTTTATCATAAAGTGATTTTCATGTTTTTCTGGAATAAAGATCTCGTTCAGTTAAAGATCAGCTGTGACCAAACTGTCAAACCTCCAGAGCTTCACGAGGAGCTTTCAAGGTACCAGGTGTTTCTCCTGGAGGAGATTTAAGGATTACAGGTTTTACTTTATCTGTTTTTTTTTCTTTAAAAGGGGCGATTCTTGGAAAATACAGAAAATAAAGAAACAACAGAAACAACAGAAACAACAGATCTATTTAATGTTTCTGTGAATCCTGGTCACACCTCAGCTCTGCTCACTGAGAGCTGCACCTGCATCTGCTGTGACGGTCAAATGAAGGACGTCTGTCTTTGTCTCACACACACTGAACACACACACACACACACACACACACACACACACACACACACACACACACACACACACACACACACACACACACACAAATACAGGCATGCATCCCTGGGTGTGTGCACACAAGCAGACACAGATCCTTCTCCTGCACTGACACACTCACACACACACACACACACACACACACACACACACACACACACACACACACACACACACATTCTTGTTTTAATACACACATAGATGCTGCATGAATGTTCAGGCTGTAAAAGCTGAAAAAAAAGCGTCTCTCGTCTCTCGTTGACGTCCTCCTCCGGGCTTTTAATAAACCAGGACTCTGAAAAAGCTCTCTGGATATCGACTGGTCGAAACAATGGGGAGAAATGGCATTGGGGTTTCCATGGCAACTGCAGCAAGCTGCTAAGAAGGCTGCTTTGAAAACATATGTCAGATTCGACTGGTCTGTTCGCAGCGAGCCTATCAACAGATTCTGTGTGCAGCCTATCACGCCGCGGCGCTCCTGTTCACCGTCTCAACATTCGACTGACAAAAAGACACAAACAAAAAAAAAAACACACAAAAAAAACTAAAAAATGCAAAAACACACCTTAAAAAAAAACGATCAAAAACTGTCCGTCTGTCTGAAATGTTTTTACTCTCAAATAAAACGAAGAAGCAGAAACTCATGAATGTATGATGGTTTCAGAAATGATCAGCATTTACACAACAACAACAACAACCACAACAACAACAACAACAACAACAACAACAACAACAACAACAACAACCACAACAACAACAACAACAACTACAACAACAACTACAACAACAACAACAACAACAACCACAACAACTACAACAACAACAACAACAACAACCACAACAACAACAACAACAACAACTACAACAACAACCACAACAACAACAACAACAACTACAACAACAACTACAACAAAAACCACAACAACAACAACAACAACTACAACAACAACTACAACAAAAACCACAACAACAACAACAACAACTACAACAACAACTACAACAAAAACCACAACAACAACAACCACAACAACAACCACAACAACAACAACCACAACAACAACAACAACAACAACAACAACAACAACAACAACAACAACAACAACAACAACAACAACAACAACAACAACAACAACAACAACAACAACCACAACAACAACTACAACAACTACAACAACAACAACCACAACAACAAAAACAACAACAACAACCACAACAACAACTACAACTACAACAACAACAACAACCACAACAACCACAACAACAACAACAACAACAACTACAACAACAAAAACAACAACAACAACAACCACTACAACAACTACAACAACAACAACCACAACAACAAAAACAACAACAACAACAACAACAACAACTACAACTACAACAACAACAACAACCACAACAACCACAACAACAACAACAACAACAACTACAACAACAAAAACAAAAACAACAACAACCACTACAACAACTACAACAACTACAACAACAACAACCACAACAACAAAAACAACAACAACAACCACAACAACAACTACAACTACAACAACAACAACAACCACAACAACCACAACAACAACAACAACAACAACTACAACAACAAAAACAACAACAACAACAACCACTACAACAACTACAACAACTACAACAACAACAACCACAACAACAAAAACAACAACAACAACAACAACAACAACTACAACTACAACAACAACAACAACAACCACAACAACCACAACAACAACAACAACAACTACAACAACAAAAACAAAAACAACAACAACAACAACCACTACAACAACAACAACAACAACAACCACAACAACAACAACCACAACAACAACCACAACAACAAAAACAACAACAACAACAACAACAACCACTACAACAACAACAACAACCACAACAACAACAACAACCACAACAACAACAACTACAACAACAGCAGCAGCGTCTGAATCAGGTAAAATGATTCACAAAGCCTCACCTCCATCACGGCGTACCTGTCGTCGGTCTTCATCTCAGCTGTGAGTCAGACGCTCTGATTCATCCTCTCTCTGTTGTTTCTGTGAACAGACTCGGTTCAGTTTCATCGTCTCCGACTGTTTGTCTCAATTCTCTAAATCATTTTCCTGAAAACAAAAACCCTGAAAAACTGAAACTGTTTCCAGACCTGTTGATGCTCCACGGTTCAGACAGGAAACCTCCACCCAGGAGGTCGAAGACGGGGTCACCTCTTCAGCTTTAAAACTCTGATTTTAGTGAGTGTTTTTTTGGGGGATATATTTGACATGTTACTGTCTCTCACTCTGAATAAACACTCATTTCTACCATTTAGGAAACAGGCCTCTAAATCTGAATCATAGAGGACTAGAAGAGGATCCTGAGCTTAAGCTCTAAAACCACGTTCAGTCTGTTTACTCGTACAAACATCACTCTTTGGGGTTTTTCATTTCATTCAAACGTCTAATTTTACTCCTGAAAACGTGCCAGCGGATATTTTTTCTGTTGGCAGCGTTTTCAGGAAGCTTGTTTTTGTGTAAGCGGCGTGAAGATGAGTGGGCGCCGAGCGGGGGGAGGGGACGTAGAGACGAGGGATGAAGATTTTGGGCTCTAATTTCCCGGTGAACTCTGTCATAATTATAAAAAAAACACAAACATGAATCGTTGTTCTAACCAGAACTAAATCCATGTTTCAGACTTTCTTTGTTTGTTTGTTTTTTTGCAGAAATGTCAAAGTTTTTCTCATTAAATCCACATTTCTGCTCCGACTGCTCCACACCTGGATATCTGCTCCTCTCTCCTGCAGAGGTGGTGGGCGGGCTGAACCAGCGGCAGCTCAACGCCATATCACTGCCACACAACGTGAGGAGCGAGGAGAAGAAAGACGGAGAGAGACGTATGAAAATAAAGGAGGGAGAGAGGGGAGGAGAAAATGGAAACAGGGAGGTTGATTAGGGGGGAGGACGAGGAGCCGGATGCGTCAAACCAAAACATTAGTATTCAATCAAGTTGTTGGTGCAGTGAGGGTCGTCTCTGTCTGTGGACGGCTGCTGCCTCTCAGATCTGCACTGCAATGTCACACACACACACTTACACTAACACATTTACACAAACACTAACACACACTCTCTCTCTCTCTCGATGACAGCACACAAACAACGGTGCGTTTACTCCCTCTATTGTCAAGCCAAAGAAAAGAAACTCCATTTTCATGTCAGTTTGTTCAGAAGAGCCTCAAACATCCTGATATTGATCCACGACACAGTCTGAACAGAGCGGCTTATTAAAGGGCTCACACACACACACACACACACACACACACACACACACAGGATTTCTTCTTCTGTGTAAATCAGTGAAAACATGTGAAAGAGAGTCGCTGAGATCACATGTTCATATAGAGCTCTGCAGAGTGATAGGGGAGAGTGGGGTCAGTTGAGCCAAGAAATTGATCATGTGACCAAATCTTCAGGAGATGGTCATCAGTTCATGGAGTCAGTGAAGGTTCGAAGCTCATGGGTGAAGAAGAGGTTAGACATTTAAAGTGAATTTAGTCTTTAGTCATCAGTTTGATTAGAAATAAAGATCATTTTAAAAGAGTTTTATCATCAACTGTGGTTTCTCTGAGCTCCAACAGGAGGTCAGAAACCTCAAAGTCCACCATTTAATCTTGGAGGACTAATAAAGTCCTCATAGTAGTTCAGGGGGAACAGAGACAGTAAAGGAGTCTGAGGAGAGGATCAGAGTTTACCTTCAGACTGTTGAAACTTCTTCTTTTCATAAACACAGATCTGTGGATGTTCTCAGTCACTTTTTCTTAGTTATATGTAATAATAATAAACAGAATGATTGTTCCAGTTAAATAGAGTATAATAGATAAAAATACACATGAATGTGAAGAAGTGACTGTTATTGAGGGAGAGAGAAGGTGAGGGGTAAGTTGACCATAGGAGACCAATGTTTTTGTCCTGCTATATTCTGAAGATGACAGTTCTGTTTACACTCATTCTGATGAACAACATCCTGAAATATCTGCAGAGACACGAGTCAGAGACTAAACTAGGACTGATATGATGTAGTGATCCAAATATGAAACATGGATCATCCTAACCCACCCTCCCCTATTTTAAACACAGACAGACAAACTCTGTTACTCTCTGTTTTACAATCCATAGAAAACATGAATACAAACACCAACTTTAATCACTGTTTTAATTAACTTTTTTTTTAATGTTTTCACGCACTCGCGCGCTCTCTCTCTCACGCACGCACACTCGATGATGCTGAAATGAAAGCATGAATCCTTCACTTGTTTTCCAGAGTAAATCCGCTCTTACCTTATTAACCCTTTCAGCTCCTGCTGTTGTTCCGGGTTTATGAACCTCTCTCTCTCTGAATTATCTCTCTGTCCTCTCAAAGTTTCTTCTGTGAGTTTTAAGGTTTAAAAGTTTCTGTAGAGTAACTGTTCCGTCTGTTCCACCTCAATAAACCAGTTAACCTCTCTTTAACACATCTGGAAATAAACTTACACGAACTTAAACTCTGATATTTGTTGGTCAAAGTGAGGATTTATCGTCGTAAATCTCCATCTTCTCAATGTAAACAAGGAAGCGAACATGATGACGCACGTGTCACGTAGAGGCGTGGCCGGAAGAGGGCGAAGTTTATTGGTCAAATTCGCGGGAAATTAGCGGTGATTGGACGAAATTGCAGCGCCTCGCTGAAATCGCGGTGATTGGTTGAATTCGCGTTAACGGTCGCGATCCCAATATCACGACATCCTGGAGGAACGAATAGGGGAGTGAAGACCTGGGCAGAGCCGGCTCAAGGTATCAGTGAACTAAGGGCTGGGTTAGGGCCCCATGGCTAGGAAAGGTGATAATATATATTATCATTAAAATAAAGTAAAAACATGTTAGTGCTGCTGCTGATGTAGGCCGATGATTCTTACTGCCGATATGTCAAAGCTCCGCCCACCGTTCTGTGCCTCCTGCTGTGAAATGGGTACTAACTACCAGAGAGCAGGTAACAATGTCGCAAAAAAGGACGAATCTTTCAGGAGCAGAGAAAAGAAAGAGGAAGAGGAGAAAAAACGCCAAAATAAAGGTCTGTTTGCATGTCAGGGAATGTTAATTAAAGAGATTTGTGAAGGTGTGTGAACGATCAATAATCAATATTATTGGCAGAAATAGAGGGCCCCAAAATCAAACTTTGCTTAGGGCCCTGGGGTCAGGGGGTCGGGGATCATGACTTCATGATTCAGTGTTTTTATCGTTCATGTGCCGCTCTGACTCCAAAAACAAAGTTTGGGATAAAACCAGAGTGAAAACATTTAAAGCTCCTGTGAGGAGTTTTTCTTGTTGACATTCATTAAAACAAGTGAAATTCATCTTGTTGGCTCACTCACTCACTCACTCACTCACTCACTCACTCACTCACTCACTCACTCACTCACTCACTCACTCACTCACTCACTCACTCACTCACTCACTCACTCCCTTCCTTCCCTCTCTTATTCCCTTCTTTCCTCCCTCCTTTTATAAACATCTATATTCTTCTTTTTCAGTTTTAATTCTTGATCGTTGTCTGACACTGTTGTAAATCATAATCTAAATACGATGCACGTACATATGTCTTTTTTTTAAGTCATTGTTTCTTTATCTTTAATTTTTCTCTTTTTTTATTCTCTGCTGCTGTAAAATTAAAGTTTCCCGTCTGTTAAAGGATCATCTTTCCTGTCTCCTCTTTATCTGATATCGGCTGTAAATGATTTTTAAACGGTCAGATCTTGTTTTGGACGTTTTATTCAGTGGAGTAAAGGTCGTAAGTCCTCTGATAGTAAATGTGTATTTGTCAGTGTTTATAGTTGATACTGATGATTTATAAAGTCTGTTTTTGTTCTTAACAAACTTACCAGAGAAATATCTCAGGATTAAAGCGTCTAAAGCCCCCGTTCTCTTTCTGCTCCAGCTCACGGCTGTAAATCTGTCAGGAGAGAGCTGAAAACTGTAGAGGATCGAACCCTGAGAAGGTGAGTTTGGGTTTTCTTGGTGCGATGGTTCTGGAGCGATGAGACCTCTTTGACTCGATGGTCTGTTTTCAGGATTTAAGCTCACGTCTTACCTTCAGATCAGCTCCGGTTTCTTTGCTGAAACATAAAAAACAACCTTTTGGTCGAAATTGAAGAAAAGGACACTGAGTGCTCTGGGAGCAGAGTCAGCGAGAACATGCAGATAAACGGCGTTTTCTCTTGTTAGTAAATAAAACAGACACCAGAGAAAAGGGAGCAGAGCTGATTTGCGTTCTGTTTTTTTGCCGCCACCCACGGCAGCACCAGAGAGACACATCAAGCACTGCGTAGGCTTCCCTTTGTACCGTAGAAAATGCATTTATTAAAGCACAGCTTCCAGAAGAAAAACAAAGGAATAGAAGAAAAGCTGCAAGATTGCAGAACATATTTAGTACCATAAAATTGATAAAGAAATCACTGTACACGCTACAGTGCTTTTTCATATCACAGCTTTAGCAATGCAGTTTATAGAACATAGATATGAGCTATATAGATCGTACTTTTTACACACAATAAACATTCAGTAAATCTTCTCTTCTCTTGGAAACATGGTCAACGTATAAATGTGTGTCAGTCAGTTCAATAAGACAGAAAAAGCAGGTTTGTGCTGAGGCCCAGGGTGAGAGGAGATGTGGATGAGCGACCGAGATGAGAAATTAAAAAGAAATCATCGTTAGCTTCAGGCGCAGGTGTGGGGTTCGATGTTTAAATGAACTAACATCATGAGAAACCCGATCAGAGTCTTCACATTTAGGTTTTTATCCACATTCAGACAAATTAAATCCAGATAAGTTTCTGCTTTAATTCATTGTTTTTTTGTTAAAGTTAAATTTCAGAGTACTAAAACTTTTTCTTAAGATCGTCGTAAAAACTTTTTCAATCGTCAAAAATATTCCTCTTATTTCAACTTGTTAAAAACGACACGTACTTGAATTTCCACTAAACTCTAATAGACTCAGTCATTTAATTTCATATCAAATATAGAGCTTTAAAAAAACATCTTTATTTCTCAGTTTGGTGTACAAACTCCACCTCTGAGGTTGAAAATACTCTCTGCTGCTCCGGGACGATTTTCATATCTGAACTTATTCCTCTAATAATTAATAATTACACTTTAAATAACCCCTCCATTTATTATAGTCATTAACACATTTATAAAGTCTCTTTAATGAGCTGTAATATGAGTGAGAAGTTTTCATCACAGTCTTTATAAAACATCAGAAATACTGAGTTTATTCAAACGTATAATTTGTTATGAGCGATTATAAAGACCCTGATAATAAACGTTTATAAACGTGATAATAAACGTTAATAAACGTGATAATAAACGTTAATAAACGCAGAGTTTACATATTTATCTTTAATTTTCTTTTCTGTATTGAATATCTGAATAAACCTGCTGGGCGGAAGTTTCATTTACACACACACACACACACACACACACACACACACACACACACACACACACACACACACACACAGGTTTTAATAGTTCCTCCTTAAACTGACTTCTCTGGGTTTGCTGGTAAAGGGGGTCGAAGGGGTCGAGGGGGAGGACTCAGTTCAGAGTGAGGAGCGGTGAGAGCTGATTGGCTGATTGTGGTGACTGTGATGATGGCGGTTTTTCCCTGACTCTGTTCCTCTCTGATATTTCGTGTTTCCTTCGCTGAGTGTTTGTTTATTTAACCTGATCCGTCGTCTCTCCACACGAGTCGTCTTTTTGAGAACCCCCTCGTCTTTAAACCTTCTCCGCGCAGACGCACGTCTGAACGACCTTCTCATAATGAATTGGCTCTCAAACATCATGACGCTGCTCTTGCTTACATTAACCTTCCACCGCTCTGACAGATTGCTGTTTAGTGTATTGATCGGCGTTAACGCTGCCTCAGCTCGTTTACAGGAGTGCTGCGGACTCGGTCTCCCCTCGACATAAACCCGCACCGGTCCAGAATGAACCCTGAACGTACGGAGGCACTCAGTCCACTTAAAGACCCACATCGTGACGTTCCTCCTCTTATTGAAAAGCAGCTCTTGGGATTCATAAAATCATCGTTTAAGGTGATAAATGATCGTCATTAGCAGCTCGGAGGAGACGCTGACATTAAACTCGTTAATGTTGTAGTGCCCTCTTGCACGGCGGCTGTGAACAGACTTTTCCTCGGGGACGGCGAGGATGGAGAAACACGCCATATGCACGCTCTCACTCCATAAATAATTCGCTCTGATGCTCTCTAGGTTCAGCGTGTTCATTCATGCCTGCTGCAGAGAGTCAGCGTCTGTACAGACGGCTCTGACTGTGACACTGTCCGCTCAGAAACGACTTTCCTCGCCGAGTTTTAGAGACTCTGATCTAAACGACACAGAAATGTTCGTCTCTGTCACCCCAAAGTTCTGGTTCTTTTCCTCAGAGGCAGATTTGGTCCCTGCAGTTCCTCCAAAAGTCCCTGAAGAAAGTTCTTCCTGCAGCTCAAACCTGATTCTGGTCTACTGGTCTGCAAACCTGTAACTCCACATAAATCTGTGAGGAGGGTTCGGTTCAGAACCGACAGGCCCGGGTTGGTCACAGAGCACGTGCAGTGGAAACACAGTTTCTCTGAGAGCTTCAAGCTTCATCAATCTTCATCCCTCCTCCCGACTTCACAGGAGCATCCTGGGATTTCCTGTGAACCTTCGGGGGTTTACGGCGATCTATTCTTAGAGCGCAGAGGAACGATCAATGTTCAGCCTCAGCGAGGAGAGGTGAGCGGTTGGCGGGGACAAAGACGAATCAGAGGCCAGCTGCGGTGAAATAAATAATGACGTTTCTTTGTCGAATCTCCGATTTCATGGTTTATTTAATGACTGCGACTGTTTGTGGCGGCTGATAATCTCACAATATCTGGAAGTTTTTCATCACCCTGCCAGCTGAGCCGCAGCAGTCGCAGTTTGAGCGACAGCGAGCGCCCCAGATTCAGAGGAGTGTGTGATCTATGTTGGTACGAGGCCTGCAGGAGCACAGCTACTTTATCACGGCGCCTGTCACCCAGGCTCCTCGGCGGCTCACAGTCCTCTAAAGTAGGGCAACAGAAACACGGGGAGAGAAGTGAAACAGGAAAGACCCTGATCGAAGACGGTCTAGTTTTTACTCAGGACCAGGACTAGTTTCTATAAATCTGCATAAAACACAGAACTAAATAATCCTGATTGAATAGATCTGTGATTTCAGGACTCCGATGTTTCTGGGTCACTGAAATGAGACTCTTGAGAGTTTCCTCGACTTCCTTTTCCGATCATGATTACGACGGTTTAGGGTCAAGAGCACAGTTTACAGACGGACCGTAAACATCAGCGTCTCCCTGATCTTGTTGTTGTTGTTTGTTTTTATCATCAGCTGAGTCTGACTCTCCCGCCCTCACCCTCTCTCACCCTCTCTCACCCTCTCTCACTGGAGGTCAGGAATCCTGTTAGAACAACTTACCTCTTGTTTCCTCAGAGGCGTTAGTGGTTCTGATTCGCCCCACATCACCTTTGGGAGCTGAACTAAGGCACATTAATATTCACCACAACAATGAAGCAAAGCTCCGGGCCGACTTTGGAGAACAGGAGGGAGTTTTTTTTTTCTCTCCTACGAACTCGACTCTGAGAATAAATTTAGAAACAGGAAAACACAGAGAGAAGGCGGTGACACGGGGACTTTTGTTGGAGGCAGATCGCCCCCGGAGACACATAAAACCAGGACCTCTGATGCAGATTCAGAGTCAAAGAGGAGCGTCAAACATGAGTCTGAAAATCTGGTCCTGACTGGGACAGGAACTTTTACAGGAAAGACCAGAATCATGATCCTGATTTAAGACCAACAAAGTTTTAATGTTTATCAGTCATGGAGTCGCTTTGTCGTTTTACTAAAACCCCAGTTCAGTCAAAAGAAGAAGAAGAAGAAGAAGAAGAAGAAGAAGGAGGAGAAGAAGAAGAAGAAGAAGAAGGAGAAGAAGAAGAAGAAGAAGAAGAAGAAGAAGGAGGAGAAGAAGGAGAAGAAGAAGAAGAAGAAGAAGAAGAAGAAGAAGAAGAAGAAGAAGAAGAAGAAGAAGAAGAAGAAGAAGAAGAAGAAGAAGAAGAAGAAGAAGAAGAAGAAGAAGAAGGAGAAGGAGAAGGAGAAGAGGGACACTGAGTAAAATGTTGATAAGAACAGTTTTTGGATTTCCTGATCAAATATCATCTTAATATTTACGATTGTTTTAAACTTGATCATAGAGGAGTGACACCTCACAGCCAATCACGTTCATTCGCATCGACTGGGTCTGAGGAGGCGGAGTCTGTCATCTACAGACCGTAATATTAGAGAATCATTCAGGACTCTGGAGTGGAAATCACCGCATGGACTCAGAATCACGACAAAAACCGTCGACTGTGAAGACAGATCATGAGGTTCAGACTGAACCAGATAAAAAACATCATCTAAGTGGATTTGGAGGCCTAACCAGGGATTTCCATCACATCCGGAACAGCTCCAATCCAGAACGGCGGCGAATTTTGCCATCTGCCAACTCGCAGGAATCGCAAGAACTCACAAGAACCCTCAGATTTACGTTCAATCTCGCGATAACGAGTTGTCTCTCTAAAGACAGACACATAGACATATAAGCAGTAGATTGTGTCCTTCCAGAGGAGGAAATCTACTTCTAGACTTCTAGAATCAGCATCTCCTCATCCATGGTGTCATCGGGGTGAAATGACGTCTAAAAACCTTTCACTTGTTCGTCTCCGCCCGTTTGCATGGTGTGAAATACGATCCTCCTGAAACACGGAGTGTTTTATTTTGAAAAGAAGCCGGATGTTTTATTTTGAAGTCTGTGCCTGACTTCCTTTCCAGCACGGGTTAATCTGTGCTGAATTTATCCGCCAGGAACAGAAAGAAGTCGGTGTAAATCGACACGTTAACTTGAATGGTTACGATCAGCTACGATCGGAGGATACGACCTTTTAGGAGACGATCAGGATGAAGGTGCATTAAGGCAAAAACTGTTCGGTGGTCTAATACTTCAAACTTTGATGGTCTGGGGATCACTAGAGTCCATGTCATGAGTATCTTCCTCATCTGTGAAGACTCCATTAATGCTGAACTAGAGCATCAGGACTCTGTAGTTGGAGTCACCGCATGGACTGAAGATCACCTGAGGTCTGATGAATCAAAGTCTAACAGAAACGTCTCAACTAAGTCCAGTTGTCCTTTCAACGAAGAACTACAAATCATAGATGCTGCATCCTCAGTTTTAAACAACATCTCCAGGTTTAGTAGAAACATCTGCGTCCATCCAGACAAAGACAAACCACATTCTGACAACAGCATGGCTCTGTAGGAGAAGAGTCCTGCTGAGAAACCGATGCGGTCCTGAAACATTCGGAGCATCATGAAATCAAAAGTACGATAAACCAGACCACAAACTGTTAATCCTCTCTGAGACAACCACAGGACGACATGTCACCTCCCAAACTCCAGGAACTGGTCTCTCCTGGTCCCTAAATGTTGAGTAAGCTGTTTCAGTTTCAGCGTGTCTTTTAGTTTTCGAGTCATTACGACTTAAACTCATTCTCCGTCTGTTTTCACTCACGTTACTCAGCGTCCTGCAGGTTTTGAAGCTGGGGTTGTTAGTCGTCCTGGACTACTGAAGACCAAATCCTGCTGACGAGAGAGGAGAGAACTCAGTGTTTGGCTCTTTGAGGTTAAACAAGTTAACTTTATAATCCTGAGTAACTTTGACTCATTTCTTCCATTTCTTGATTAAAACTTGAGTCGTCTCACAGTTTGTCTGAGTCATCCCCGTTTGACCCGACAGCCTGAGTCCACGCAGAGCTCTCTGCTCTCAGACTCTGAGATCTGGGTTTGGTTTTCCCGGTGAACAGGAACCCCCAGGTTGTTTCTGTGAAGGGCGGCGGGGAGCTAAACCGCGGCGTCTCTACACCGCCTACATCTCCACCATCATTCTGGAGCGGTCAATTTAAAGACGTGGACGTTCATGAATCTCGAATTTATTAACAGATAAATTTGCGTCATTTTAACAGGATTTTTAAGGTTCGTTTACTTCAGTCTCACGTTAATGACTCTGAAATTATTGATCTGTTTTTTCTCCTGCAGCATTTCTGCCTCCATCAAAGTCCGAGTGTTTCTTTAATCCCCTCCTTTAGCAGCATGTTCTGTGATCTGGACTGAGTTAAAGTGAAGCATGAGAGGACTAACACATGGGTCTGATCTTCTTTTAGCTGCCTGGACGACCCGTGTGCGTGTGTGTGTGTGTGTGTGTGTGTGTGTGTGTGTGTGTGTGTGTGTGTGTGTGTGTGTGTTTGTCTGATCAGGAGTGTGTAACATCATGCACTCTGCAGCAAACACCACAACACGCCGCGACCTTCTCGCTGGAAGCCGGAGGAACTTCTTTAGTGGCTTATGGAGAGAGGTGTGTGGAAGGAGAGTGACAAGAGGTTGGTCGGACCATGCTGTGAAACTGTGACTCCATTTCCCAGGGGGCTTTGCAGCAGCAGCACAATAGAAAAAAAAAAAAAGCCACTAGCCGCTTAGCCGATGGCATGGAGAGGGCGGAGACGATTGGCCAGAGGTCACAGGAGCTGATTGGTTGGCTGGTTTGTGGAGTCATGGTGGATGCGGGGTGCAGGTGTTTGTTGATCGGATGGCGCTGGTGCACAGGAGGATTGTGGGTAGATGGATATGTCAGAGAGCTGAGCCCCACCCCTTCTTGATTGTGATGCCTGTCGGGGCAGGGAGGACGGTGATGTGTGGAGGTGGTGGATCAAAAACCCTGATTGTCTTGGTTCTGGACCTTCGCTAACACGTCGACCCGACTAAGTCACGCCCTCAGAAACGCTCTGGTCGCCATGTTGGATTAGCGTTTACTCTTGGAACTTACCTCTGAACAAAGCGGCTAGTGCGTTATCAAAGTACGAACTCTGGCACTGACTTTACAGACAAATGTGTGAGGGCTTAGTCCTTCAGACTAAAGATGTAACTT